GAGCTTGTCCTAGAAGTCATTCTGTAGACCAGGCTGCCCTTGAACTCAGAGAGCAGCCTGCTTCTGCCTCCCAAGTGCTGGGATTAAAGGCATGAGCCACCACCTCCCGACTCTAGTCAGCTTTTCTTTTTCTTTTAAACAATTTTATTTATTTTTTTAAACAATAACGATTATGTATACAGTCTTCTGCCTGCATGCCAACAGAGGGCACCAGGTCTCATTCAAGGTGGTTGTAAGCTACCATGTGGTTGCCGGGAATTGAACTCAGGACCTCTGGAAGAACAGTCAGTGCTCTTAACTGCTGAGCCCTCTCTCCAGCCCGTCTAGTCAGCTTTTCTTAATTGTATGTTCTACCTTTTGCCTTTGGGCTTTTATCTTCCTCTATTCTGTATATCTTTCTTTACTTCTTACTCTGTGCTTGCTGTGTAGCTGGATGGTTGTCCTCTGGAGTCCTCCTCTCCTTTCGCTCCTGACCCTCTCTTCCCAGATTTCTCCTATTTATTTTCTCCATCTGCCAGCTCCTCCTTCCTCCTGCCTACCTATGACTGTTCAGCTCTTCAGTAGCCCCATCACGTGACAAAGTTAACAACAGCCTCACAGAGTTAAACAAGTGCAACATAGAAGAATGCAGCACACCTTTGCATCATTAAACAAATGTTCCACAGCATAAACAAATGGAACACATCTTCAACTAATATTCTACATGGAGATGGGGGTACGGAGGGGATTAGTGACAGGAGTCTGAGAGCTCTGGTTTTCAAGTCAGCTATGTGTTCTAAGATCAAGTAGAAAAAAACCTGAACATTCCTCAGGATTCCCGCCGTGGAAGGGCTGTCTTCTCTGGAAGTGAAGTGTGTGTGGGGTGTCTCTCGAATTAGCAGTGCAATGTGTGAGGCTGCTGAGTGCCAGCAGCTACTCCAGCAGTGCTGTGCTTTTGTTCCATGTACTCAGATCCCCAAAATAGTTTTGTGGCAAGCAGAGAAGAAACGTGTCCAGTATGAACGCTTCACCAAAGCCCCTTGCAAACCTGCCACTTACTTCCTGGCCATGAGGCCACTCTCGTGGTATTTTCTAGGCTTTAGGGTACCCTGGGGAAGTAGGAGTGACTTTTCTCCCGGTTGAACTGTGGAAGGCAGGTTTGGGGCTTAGGGTGGTCCTCCAAGACAAGATGGGACAGAATTTAAGCCACGTGGGTTTCTGCATGTGGAAGGCAAGGATAGCGTAGGGCTGAGGATCTCAGGGTGGTTTTAAGAGAGGTGTTTGGTAATGTCACAAGTGCAAAGTGAAGATGAGCAGCTTCCATGGTATTTACCCCTTCCTGAGGCAGTGGCCTCAGCTGTCCATGACATCCCCACATGCAGAGACAGCTGAACGGTTAAGGCACTGACTGACTCTCCAATCCAGTTGCTGAGATTGTCCAGTGTGACCCAGTGACCATCCTATGTCAAGGCAAACACTTGGTCACTGACCAGCTGACAATGGTCCTACCCTTTCCCCTGCAGACCTGACCTCAGTGGACTGACTGAGGACACGTAGTTATATACACACATGTGTTCACATGGGTGAAGATATCACATAGGTAGTTACACACACGGGGTCACATGGGTGAAGGTGGGGCTGGGAGATTCCACCCCAAAGTAGCCAAGACTGCCTTCCAGGGGCTCTTAAAAAGACGTGGTAGTGGTTTCCTTGCTGCAGGCTTGCATCTAGAAGCCATGGGCCATTTGGCCACATTTCTTCTCTAGCCATGCAGAACCACAGCCAGCCCCTCTGGAGGGTGCCCTGAGATTCCCTGATGTTCTGGTTATGAAAGTGTTTGAGATTTGAGTCCCTGGATTTGATTTCTATAAATATCTATAATGAACTTCACTTTATCTTCCCTTTGTGCTAAGGATTCTTATATTTGTGTTGTGTATGTGTGTGCTCGCCTGTGTGGAGGTGGACACTGAGTGCCCAGTTTCAGTCTCTACTTTGGTTTTACTTTTTTTTCTTTTTGGATGGGGCCTCATTATGTTGCCCCAGCTGGCCCGGGACTCACTATGTAGACCAGGCTAACCTGTAACTCAGAGATCCATGTACCTGTCTCCGGTGTGCCAAGATTAATGGCATATGCCACACATGGCTCTACCTTGTTTTCTGAGACAGGTCTTCATCACGGAACAACACTTTGTTCACTGAGCCCTTCCCAACCATGGCAGTCAATTTCATCTGCAGTTTAGGTCTGTTGAGGTTCTGGTGGTACCTGAAGGCAAACAGAGTAGGTGAAGCCCAGGAAACCTTGCTTGCCCAATATGGACAAAAATCAATTGTATAGTGCCAATATTTTTTTTAAAAGAGTAAGCTTTATCTATAAAAGCAAACAGACAGTACAATAGGAGGCAGCCAGGTCCAGGGCAGGATGGACCAGCTGTGATGAATCAGCAGTCATCTGCCGCTGACACAGTCCAGGTGGAATTGGACGTAACCCCTCTGCATCTGTTCTCATCCAAGGTATCATTCGTCAGGTTCTGTTTATTGCAGGCTTTTGCTCCCACTAGGCTCCTGAGGATGTTTTAGGTCTGTCCTAGACTTCCATGCTTGGGTCCTGAGGAGTAGCAAGAATAGTTTTTAGAAGCATGTTGTACTGTTTATGGCTCAATTTCAGAGGTAGCAGTTGAAGCAATCAGGGGGCCAAAGTCATTCCTTACCTGGGCTGGAGAATTCAGGCACTTGCTATATGTTTACCAAAAAACTAATATTGACTTCTGCCTGTGTCTGCCAGTAGAAGGCCCCAGGGCCGCATGGCAAGACTGGAGCCTTTGTCGTCTTGTGCACCCAGAAGAGGGTTGCTAATGTCTGTTCTCTTTGAGCTGTTGTCAGGGTACAAACAGAAAGGACTTTGGAAAAGAACAATATGGCGTGTGTTATCTGTGAATACAGCATGTGGAGGCAGGCAGCAGGTATTCATTCCTGCCTCCTGACTGACAGGGGCCCCTAGATTGTCTGGGCCTAATTTCTCATTTTACAGATGAAGAAACTGAGGCCCAAAGAGGTTCGTGATTGAGTCTATGGAAGAGGTCACAGTTGCTGACAGAGCTTGTGACTTTGCCCCCTTTGGCACATAGCTGACAGGGGCCTGGGTGAGGGAAGGCAGTAGCGTGTCTGTGACATGCAGCCCAGCTGAGCTGAAGGTGCTGAGTGGGCAGTGAAGGTTTCCCAGGCCTGGTCCTGAGAGGTACAACCTGTAACATGTGGGGAAAAGACACTGACTGCAGGCACCACAGGCAGGCAGTGCAGAGTGAGGCCCCGGGTTACACAGAGAAACAGGCAGGTAGTCTTCTGGGCCAAAATAGGAAGGTCTATGTCCTTGGGGCTGAGGCAGTCACCTACCTCATGGGCCTGCCGTCCCCCAGAGATGGTGGAAACAGGGCTACTGTGGCAAACCCAGATGGGGCAGTCTCTGGTGTGGGGCCAGTCTTGCCTCTGCTTAAGCAATTGTGGACCCAGAAAACCTCCTGATGGATGTGCAGAAGTCAGATGACTGATGTGAGCAGTTTCTGCAGGCCTGGGAGTCTGGCAGGGCAGCTGGGCTTGAGCAGAGCCCAGGGAATGCTCTCGTTCTACTGGATTCCTCCAGCTGGGGACTCAAGGCCCCTGGTAAGTCCTCTGGCTGTGAGGGACACACTGGCCCTCACCTATTTGCTGGGAAGGGATGCCTGCCCCAGTCTCTCTCTCCCCCCAGCTAGGGAGGCTGGTTAGGGACCTCAGGACACACTCAAACACAAACTAAGCAAAAAGCCATGTGTGAACTCTTCTGAGGGATCAGGGGCACTCTGAGCCTTGTGAGGAGGAATGGAGATGCTGGACCCCAGAGTTTAATTTACGCTGCCCCCCCCCACTACATTCCTTAATCTGTGGCCCTAAGATGCAGGGGAAGAGAGAGGCCTCAGCTTGCTGGGCTGCAACTCGGGACAGGGAGGAACTGTCCTGGCTGCAGGTCCCCAGCACTTCCTCCCAGCTTCAGGTGGTGGCCCCCTGGCTTGTCTTCCATCCTTACCCGTCACTCACTCCTGTCCTACCACGGTGTGCAGCCATCTTCCTATGCTCAGCCCTCCAATTCTCAACCCTTAGAACGCAGGCAGGGCAAAACAAGCCTTTGCCCCTGATGTCTGGCAAAGCTTCAGTGAGCAGCACCTCCTGATGACTAATGGTTTTCTAAACTAATTCTTCAGTCCTTTCCCGCTACCTTTTCTCCATGCCCTGTAGCCCCAACCACTGTAATCTAGGCCAAGTTTCTGAGCACATAAAGTGAACAGGGTGGTCTCTACCCTACTTTGTGGCCCCAAATGTTGTAATGTAAGAAAAGTGGTGCTTGAGAGAAAGGGGGGGGGGGGCAAAAGACAAACATGACAATAGAAACTGGAGACAGGGGGGGGGGGGGGGGGCACAGGACACACATGACATAGGACTCTGGAGACAGGAGCAGCAGGGGAGAGGGAAAAAGAAGGATGGGAAGTGGGCAGGGCCCTTTTATATGCATGGGTGGTACTCTTAGTGGCTACAGCTGAGGGCGCATCCTGTCAGAACCCCAAGGACAGGCCAATACTAATACTAACACCCAATCCTTCAGGGTTACATGGCACCTTCTCTCTAGCTGTGACCTAGCTCTCATGCTTACCTTCTGATTCTTGAAGCCCACGGTCCTCTGCTGTATCCTTGTGCCCAGACACACCCTCCCCTCTTGAGTCTAACGGTCACTGCTGTGTGTCCTTGTGTTCCTTCATGTGACACATGATTCCAGAATCTTTCACATCTGACTTGTAGGTCACCCAGAACTTGAGTTTCCACCAGTGTTTACTAAAAAGGGCAAGGAAGGCAGGATGGGGGCAAAGCAGGGCAGTGCCTTTCTGCTCTGCCCCAAGGAGCAGCCTCCCATGCTCTAGGAACTGGCACTGGAGGTCAGGTATATACATGGCAGTGGGTGTGGGAATCAACTGTTAACAGGCACTTGTTTCTTTTAGTAATCTTGGAGGCAGCGTCATCAGTAAGGAGGTCCTGAGTTTGCTGAAGGCTGGCTGGTCCAGGGAGGAAATCACGATGCAGCACTTGGAGGCCCCGCTTCAAGCTGAGATCATGAAGTCCACAGGTAAGGGATCAGTTCAGATAAACAGTCCTAGCCAAGAGCCACGGCTGGATGTGATTAGTGTATGTACCAAATTCCAGATAGTGGGGGTATCTGAACAGTGAAGGACAGAGGACAGTCTCAAATTGTCAACTTCTGGTAGCACAAAGAAAAGTAAGCCTAAACTCCTTTCCTGAAAATGTCCTTAAGAGAGTCACTGGCCCAGCCACAGACACACAGCCATGCTCTCCAATGCCCACAGACTAGCAGATCTCCCTGAGAGAACAGTGGTTCAACCCCAGCCAAAGGTACCCGTTTCCTGCACCAAACAAAGCCACAGTCCTGGTGGTCATGCCCTGCACCAAAAGCAGTCACAGCTCCACAGCTCCTGGCACCTACTGCAGACAGCACTCCTAGAGCTCCATGGGAGAGCAGATCTTGCTCAGCTCTCAAATTGGGGGATACCTTAAATCTTTAGCACGGGGCAGGTGAGATGGCTCAGCGGTTAAGAGAACTGGCTGCTCTTACAGAGGTCCTGAGTTCAATTCCCAGTACCCACACAGCAGCTCACAACTGTCTGTAACTCCAGTTCCAAGGCATCTGATATCAATGCATATTAAAAAAATCTTTAGCACGACCTCAGGTCAGTCTCCATGTAACTTTGGGTCTTGATTTCAGACAGTGGCTTTGGTTCCAGCCGTCTTGTGAAGGAAAACCTTATTGACTTCTTTGTCCCCTTCCTGCCATTGGAATACCACCACGTGCAGCTGTGTGTCCGAGATGCCTTCCTGAGCCAGGACCTCCTGTACACAGAAGAGGCCCTGGATGAAATTGCCAAGATGATGACTTATGTCCCCGAGGGGGAGCGGCGTTTCTCCTCGCAGGGCTGCAAATCCATTTCCCAGAGAATCAACCTCTTCCTGTCTTGAAAGTGTCTCCTTGTGCTCCCTGGAGCTGTCTTCCTCTCCCAGAGACCCTGGATCTGCCAGGCACCCTGGCATTCTGCATCACTACTCCAGCTGGTTGCAGAAGGCGGCCCCGAACAGAGGCAGTTCTTAAATCACTTGGTGCCTTAAAGACCTGCATTCTAGACATTCTATAATGTAGGCCAGCAAGTCAGAAAGCCTTTGGGAAGTCCAAGTGCCAAACGGTCCCCAGAACTCCCCCTACAGGCCCTTAGCACCACAGCTCTTTCCAGAAAGTGGACTTGAGGCTGCAGAACATGAAAGAACTATGGCTCATCAGGAATGTGCTCCATTCAGGTCTGTAGGTGTGGGCTGGCTTTCCAGAAGAAGGTGGTGAGCAGATTGGCAAAAGGCCTTAGGCTAAAGGGAAAACCACATGCTTTCGAAACCTGCCAGTGACAGGTGTGGCACACACCTGTGATCCTAGCATGGAGAGGGCTCAAGAGACCTGAGCTGCCTGGCGAGTTTGAGGCCAGCCAGGCTTGACAAACAAAAACCACAGATATGTAGCTAAGTCACGTTCTGTTCTATAGACTGAAAACTTTTTTTTTTTTTTTTTTTTTTTTTTTTTAACCTAAAAATTTTTTTTTTTTTTTTTTTTTTTTTTTTTTAAATTAGGGGCCTCACTATGAAATGTCCTATGTGTAGATTAAATTTTGTATTTTTCTAACATCCTTGGCCTCTTTTCTTACTAGTGATTGTACTCCACACTGATGGGAACTGGGAGAGGCAGGTGCTGGCCCTGGGAGGGCTGGCACAGCATCTCCTGACCAGCAAGTGGGTGTTTCAGTTCACTTTGGGGCCATGTCACCCAAACTCAGAGCTACATCAACTTCTTACTTAGAGGTTCCCAAGACTCAGTGCTCACAGACATGAGTTCTTCACCCAGGCTTTTTCAAGAGAAGCTGTGGTTCCCGAGCCTGACAGTGAGGCATCCCGTGCACAACTTGTGTTTGAAACTTGTGTTCTGCCCTTTTTTCTTCTGGTCCCTTCACACTTTTGAAACACATAGGTCTTTGTGCTTTGTCATAGTCTCCCCCTTAGTGTAGCCCTCCTCTAACCTCTCACCGTTAGCTCTTGTAAATGGACCGTTTCTGCATTCATCAGCTGGTTGTACATGAGTACTCACCTGCCTTAGGTTAGGGAGTACTGAGTCCAGCCATACTGGGTACTTAGTACTCAAATAAATGAAGGCGCATATTTCGAAAGCAGGATCTTGAATAGCAAAAGCAGCTTCACAAAGTCCAAGGGTTTAGGAGCTCTGCTGCCACAAACCAGGGATGGAGATCTAACAATTCAGATTTCTTATAAAGCAAGACTACAGGGTTAGTAAGCATGACATGGTCAGTAAGACTTAGATTTCTTGTTCACACCAGGTGTTGCAATGCCTATTATCCCATATTCAAGAGGACAGAGCAGGAAGACAGCTTGGGCTACATAGTGAGAGCCAAGTGAATAGCAACAAGAAAATTATGGAGATACCATCCTATCCAAGAGCTAGACACAGTTTTCTCCCCCCAGCACAGGCCATGTTAGAATCTTACCTGACCTAACAGAACTAGAATGCTAGAAATATATCATGATCACAAGGGCATAAAAGTAGAAATGCCAAGAGGGGGCTTCAGAAACTTGAGACAAAACCTATAAGGAAAGCAGCTCTGAGAAATTATGACAATATACACATCTCAGAGAGGCACTTTGCCACAAAGAACTGGAAAACACTAAGCCCCAATTTAATATAAAAATAAACATCACAGGTCTGGAGACATAGCTCAGAAGTTAAGACACCGAAAGGTGTTCACAATCATCTGTAATGAGATCTGGTGCCCTCTTCTGGCCTGCAGGCATATGTGCAGGCAGAACACTGTATACATAATAAAGCTTTAAAAGCATCACAGTGGAAATAAATGAATAGCTAGGTTGGTAGCACACCTGTGATTCTAACATTTGGGAAAGGCTGCCAAGCTTAAGAAAACCTGGTCTTTGTGAGTTTGAGACTGCCTGGGGCTATATAACAAGACCTTGTCTTGATTTCTCCTGTCTTTTTGAGACAATGTCTCATATAGCCAAAACTGGCCTTGAACTCAGTATGTAATCCCAGAATAACCTTGATTGTTTTGCCTTTATCTTCCAAGTGCTATAATTACAGGCATGTGCCAGTATACCTGGGTTTATTTGATGCTGGGCTCAGACTGGGCTTCGTGCATGCTAGGCAAGCACTTTGCTGATCCCCAGGCCCAAGACCCTGTTTCTAAATAAAGATATTTTTCTGGACACTAAAAACTAAAGCAAAACCAAGGATCAGTGAAAGGGCTGGGTGGGGAAGACGACTAAAATAACCCACAGAAAAGATGTTACTACTGATAACAGAAACACAAAGCATTCAGAAAACCTACTATGATTATACATCAGCAAACTAGATTATGTATAATAGACAAATTTCTGGGGCTGGAGAGATGGTTCAGCGGTTAAGAGCACTAACTCTTCTTCCAGAGGTTCTGAGTTCAATTCCCAGCAACCACATGGTGGCTCACAACCTCCTTGAATGAGATCTGGTGCCCTCTGCTGGCACACAGGCAGGAGACATAATAAATAAAATCTTAAAAAAAAATTTTTTTAAGAAAATAGACAAATTCCTGTATGTAGACAACCTACCAAGATTAAATCATGAGGAAATAGACAACCTGAACAGACTTTTAACAAGTAAGTTATTATTATATGACCAGTAATGCTTTTTGAAAGTCTCACATCAAAGAGAAGCCCAGGGCCTACCTGATGGCTTCAGGCTGAAATCTACTTTTTAAATATAGTTAAAGTCTGGGAAGGGCATAGTGACATATGCCTTTTAATCCAGAGGAAGGCAGACACCTCTGAGTTCAGGGCCAGCCTGGTCTACATAACAAGTTCCAGAACATCCAGGGCTACGTTGAAAAACCCATTCTCAAAACAAACCAACAGTTAAAATCTGGGTGTGGTGAAACTCATTAGCAATCCCAGCACCAAGGAGACTGAGGAAAGAGGTTTAGGAGTTTAAGGCTGGTTGTATTACACAAACAATAAACACTGATAACCAATTCTATTGAAACTATCTCCAAAATGAAAGAAGCAATACTTCCAAACTCATTCCATGAGGCATTACCTCGGTAGCAAAACCAGACAAGGATATAAAATCCCACCCCAAATCCAAAAACTATAGGCAAACACCCCCGATGAACACAGATACAAAAATCCTTAACAAAACAGCCCAATATATCACAACAAAAAGACCACTCACTATGATCAAAAGGGATTCATCACAAAACTACAAGGATAGTTAATCTCTGCAAATCATCAAATGTGATCTGCCACATTAGCAGAATGAAGGGGAAAACCACATGATCATTTCAACAGATGCAGAAAAACCACTTGATAAACCTCTTAATGATTTAAAAATCCTCAATAAATCAAGTATAAAAGCAATGTGGCACACGCCTTTAATCCCAGCAGAGGCAGGCAGATCTCTGTGAGTTCTAGGCCAGCCTGGTCTACAAAATGAGTTCCAAGACAGCCAGGGCTGTTATAAACTAGAAGATTTAACAGTACTTAAGTGATCTATAGATCCAATGAAATGCCTATCAAGTTTGAATGTAACTGGGCCCCATAATCTCATAGGGAATGGCACTATTAGGAGGTGTGGCTTTGCTGGAGTGGGTGTGGCCTTGTTAGAGGAAGTGTGTCACTGTGGGGGCGGGCTTTTAGGCTTCCTATGCTCAGGATACTGCCCAGTATCTCAGTTGACTTCCTGTTGCCTGCAAGATGTAGTACTCTGAGCTCCAGCACATCTGCCTAAACATTGCCATGCTCTCCATCATGATAATAAAGGACTGAACCTCTGAAACTGTAAGCCACCACCCCAATTAAATGTCTTCCTTTATAAGAGCTGCCAAGGTCATAGTGTCTCTTCATAGCAATAGAAACTCTAAGATGACATTTTTTCACACAAGTAGAAAAATGATCCCAAAATTCTTATGAAACTATAAAATCCTTAAGTAGCCAAAGGAATCTTGAAAAACAAGAACACAGCTGTGTTCTATTACCTAACTTGAAAGTTATTACAAAGCTGTAAAACCAAACAGCATGGCGCGCATGCATTCTCGAGCTCACACACATACACACACAGGAACAGAATGCAGGGAAATACAACACATGCATTTCAAGCCAACAGACTTCACAATGGTATCCAGAAAGTGCAACAGAAGAAGGTAGTCTCTTTCATAAATGGTTTTGGGTAATATGGTTTCATGCATGTAGATCTTAGCTCTCACCACATACAAAACCAACTCAAAATGGATTAAAGATTTACAAGTGAAGTCTGAAACTAGGAAACAAATTAAATGTTTCGATACCTTGATACAGGCAATGGAATTTTGGGGAAAGGCCTCAGTAGCAAAGCAGTAAAATAGCAATAAATGGCAAAAGGATTTCATCAAACTAAAAATCCAAATGGCCAAATAAACTGTCAGGAAGTGACGATCTACAGATTGGAAGTAAACTATTGGTAACACTGAGTTTTATTATCCAGAATATAGAAGGAGCTCAAACGGCTCAACAAGTCATCCTGTTAAAACTGCAAAGAAGTCAGAACAGATGCTCTTCAAAAGACAAGAGGGCTGGAGAGATGACTCGGTGATTTAAGAGCACTTGTTCAGTCCCCAGTACCTACATGGTAGCTCACAATTACCTGTAACTCCAGTCCCAGGGGACCCAACATCTTCTGGCCTGTGGGCACCACGCATGCATCTGATGCAGACAATACATGCAGACTAAACAATCATACACATTTTTTTTTAAAAAAAGGTAAGTCTTAGAGACAAAAGCAACAGCAAAGTGTTCTTCCTAAGAAACAGAAATGCCAATCAAGTTGTGAGGGCATCATGCAACTTTTCCTGATAAGAAGACATGAAAAAACTTCTATCCACCTCAGCCAGGGCACTGGTGCTCATCCAGAGGGATGACTCCATTCCACTGGTGAATCAGTGAATTAAGGGGTGAGGCACAGTAACGTGGGCAACTTTCAGGTGGCTGCATCACCGAAAAGCCTGTCTTAGCACTGGTGATGGCTCAGAAAGCTGCATCCCCTGGAGCTCTGCCCAAAGGGTAAGCAACTCCACCCAAGTCTCTCTGTTTGCAGCAACAGGTGAGTGCTTAAGTAGCCTAGTGGAAGGGGCTTGTGAATCTTCTAAGTTGCATGAACTTTTCTCTTCCCTCCAAAGGGAAGATGGTTCCACTCAGAGGAAGCACCTTACCCCAATTGGAATATTAAGACAACAAATCCTAGGGAGGCTGCAGCAAAGAGAGGACCTGGAAGACACTGTTGAGAAGAGTGGAAATCAGCACAGCTGATGGGAATGGCATAGTGGCTGTTTAAAGCATTAAATATAGCTTGGCACGAAGGCACACACCTGTAAACCCAGCACTTGAAAGGCAGAGGTGTAGATTCAAAGCTCAAGGCCAGGCTGCTCTCAAAAAACCAAGGGCTAGGGAGATATCTCAGTGGTATTTTCCTATGTGATTCCCTAAGCACTACAAAAAGGCAAAACGAAGCATAGAAACAAAAAACAAACAACAAAACAAAATAAAAAAAATCCTCAGCTAAAACAACTAAATTCGAGATAAATATATAAATGTAAGATTTGAAACTATACCTTTACTATGAATTTCTGTCTTGTACAGTTAAGATAGACATAGCTCATAGTGTTTGCTGCTCTTCAAACACTTGAATTTGGTTCCCAGCACCCATGTCCAACAGCTCACAACTGCCTGTAACTCCAGCTGCAAGGGATCCAACACCTTTTTCTGGTCTCTGAGGGTAGCACAACACACACACACACACACACACACACACACACACACACACACACGTAAAAATAAAAGTTGTTTTAAAAAAGATTTGATTTAGATATTTCAACTGGCTAGAAGAGTTTGGGGCTGGGCACAGTAGCAGATACCTGTAATTCCAGCATTCAGGGAGGGTGATCAGGGTTCAAGGCCTGCCTGGCCTACATAGCAAGAATGAGGCCAGTCAGGACAACACAGTGAGATGCTGTTTTAAAAATAAAAAAGAATTAGGAATGAAATGTTTGAGGAAGTGGATATGTTTAACATAATTTCAACATTATACAGTGTATACAATGATTTAAAACATCACAATACCCCATAAATATTGGATATACATTAAAATGTATTAACAATATCCTTTCAACAGGACTGCTTTGAATATGCTATAATGTATAATATTCTAGTACACACAGAATTTTGGAAATGCTGAAAAATAAACACAAATCCCACCACAGGGCATGAGGAGAAATGGAATTGTATCAGACAGACATGTGAGCCTGTGTTCAGTGCAGCACTGTGCACAAGAGGCATGAGATGGAACCAGCCTGAAAGTCCATCAGCAAGTGATGGGGCCCGGAAGTGTACGTACACGCAGTGGGAGGAAGTACTGGAGCATAAAAAACAATGAAATTCAGTCTTTTATCCAACACGGATGAATGTGAAAGATGTGAGGCTACTTGAAATAACTCAGGCTTAACACTGCATGAACTCACTCATGTGTGCAGTGTCAGGGAACTCAGGGAGAAGTAGGAGTCTGGCTACCAATGCCTGTGGTTGGGCCGGGGGGACAGAGGACAGATGGCAGTGAAATCACTGGTGTTTCTATACATGTGCAGACTGCAATAACCAAATCAGAGTATTTAGAATATCTGTGTCCTGACTTCATTGTGGTGAAAATGTTCAGAATTTTCATTGTTAGCTTTTTTGAAATACTCTGTTGACCAGTCACACACTGTAGTGAACACCAAGACTGAGTTCTCTTACCTGGCTACTTTGTCATGATAGCCACTGACTACACTATGCTCAATGAATGAGCAAAAATGTGTCAGAAGTATGGGGACCAGGGAACGTGGGCCAGGCGTTAAGAGTGCTTGCTTATCATATACAAAGCCCTGGGCTCAATTGTCAGCACCTATATAAACAGTGTGGTGGTATACAACAGTAACCCCAGCAGGGGGATCCAAGTTCAGTGTCAGCTTTGGTTGCATGGCAAGTTTGAGGCCACCTTGGGAAGGATATATGCCTGTCTCAAAAGCATGAAAAAGAAGGTAAGTAATTTTGAATAAGAATGTTCTCTCTGAGGATCTATAGCTGACTCAAGACAGTCTAAGAACTTCTTTGCAGTTGTGTTCAGAATGGATTTTCCGAGAATCAAATGTCTCTGTGTAATGTTCACTTTACCCCCTCCCCCCCCACACACACGCACACACATTACCTACCTGATGTCTGCCAGCCCAGGTTCCGGAAGGGATCGTATGTGCAACACTCCTCATAGGATGAAGGTTCATACCACAGTGCCCTCCAGGGAAAATACACCAGAATTTACTCATTTACTTATCTGCTGGACTTTATAGTCATCTACTGGGAGAAATACTCCAACTCAAGCCCACTTTGCCGATAAAATATTTCAACCTTTATTAAAACAAAACACAACTTGCAAACCATGTGAGATACGACAGGAAGCAGTCCCTGCCAAGGGCATCATTTATTTACATCAAGTTTAACACTGTTAGCAGTTCACAGTCAGACAACAGAGTGAGAGAATTAAATTAGAAAAACAATCGAAAATATATTACAGTAACAATTAAGAACAAATACTTGACAACAGTGGTAGTGTGACCCATGACTGACATGTTTTAGTTGAATCCCGTATGGTCTCACCAGGCACTGTGTCCCCTTAGCAATGCACACAGTGCCCACTGTGGGCTTTACCCTCTGTGCACCACCTACGCCTGCAGTGTAACCTTTGGTATAAACATTAGGGTTTTAAAAATCTGAATTAGCAAGTTTTAGGACAAAGTTCTATCAACCACCATAAAACATTCGAATTGACTTTTTAACCAAGCAAGCACAAAATCGGGGTTTCTCCACTGATAGTCATTACAGAGTCCGATTGCAAAGGAAAGAAAGTGCAGGGTCTACAAGGAAGGCTTTGTGTGTGCAGTGTGCTCAGGGGGCTGTGCAGGGCAGCATGCTCACTGCACTACTGCTTCTGCCCTCAGAGAGAGGGGATCAGGAGCTGTGTGATGAGTACCTCCCCTTCTCTTTAGTTTTTGAATACTCATGTTTTTTTTTTCTTCCTGAAGGTCATTTCTCAAGGTCTCAGCGAATGCTTCTCATGATAGAGTTCAGGTGGCATAGTGGAAGCTGAGCGTGGAGATCGAAGAATGCTGGTTCCTGTGGTCCTGACCATTCACAGTACACAGACAGCATGGGTCTTAGGAATACCAAGCCCAATGTGAGGAACTAAGGACCCTGAAGCATTGCAGCCCTCTGCAGTATTCTGATTCAACAATACACATATTTATAACTGCTGAAAACTATGTGAAAGTCTTATTAAGTCCCACTTGCCACTAAATTGTATGGTCCCTAAAAACAAGATGTTCAACTCCTACTCAGGGCCCCAGAAACAAGCCCAAGCAAGTTCCACTCACAAAACTCTCTGTAGTTTCTTTCACTAACTTGTTAGCATTGACAGTGCCTCCCCTGTGTCCTGAAGATTAGGGTCTGTACTCTGGGAAGAGCTGAGTAACTGAGCACAGCCCATTCTTCCCTGAAGATGCCACGGTCTGAGGATAGGTGGACATACTTCTCCTTGGATGGTGGCAGCTTTGCAGACCCACTCAGTGTGTCACTGTCCTCTCTGGCTAACAGGGTTCTGCTACTGTGTCCAGGTTTTTCAGCACCAGGGAAAGAGAGATTATTATTATCTATGAGGGGTAAACAGTCTGACTTACGGGTATCCATGGAGCAAAGGAAGTGTGTGTGGAGGGGGAGGTGGGCCTAGAAGAGGCCTCCTTCCCTCAGCTCATCACACAGGGCTGAGAAAGATGAAGCAGCAATTTGCCAGTTGGCATTTTGACTGGGGGGGGGGGTGGGGGTGGAGTGGGGTCGAGGGAGTCTGAACCAACCAGAACTTTGAGCCCTGATGAAGCTTGTTTCAACCAGATCTAGCTCAATAGTTATGCACACCAGCCCAGCAGGCAAGTCATAATCCCAACAACACTCAGGAACCCAATCTTTGAAGGTACAAACCTCTGAGCATGACCTCTGCCACTCTGTCAGCTTCTCATCAAGACAAACTGCCAGACCTTATCCAGAGCACAGCGCAGGCTCCTCCCGGGTCACATGGGGAGCTAGTCCAAATGAAAAGTGTTACCATGGCACACACAGTCAAGATGGAACATGCACACATGGCACAGAAAGCCACAGCCTTATAAAGACAAGCTGGAGCCAAGAATCGGCTGCCAATGCTCTTGAGCAGGCTTAGCCAAGCCAGCCTCCTCAGTAGCAGGATCACAGGCAATGGCAGTGAAGGTGGGCCACTCTGCAGGTGACCGGAACCACTACTCCAAGCACTACTGACCCCTACGCTGGAAAACAGTGTCTATGCACACGACATTAGGAGTGAGTCACGTTTTAGAAGCATCCCAAGGATGTTTTAGAAGCATCCCAAGCATTGCCTCTCAACGCTAGCAGCATGGGGGCCATGGGAACCCTTGGGCTGGCCCGGCCAGTCTGTGCCCAGTTCCCATGGAACTGCTTTACTCTAGGCTCCTGTGCACCCACAGAACCCAAACAACTATTTTCAAGGTCTACCAGCTTGATGAAGATAAGGCAGCTGACAAGAAATACAAAAAGCACTGGCCATAGCAGATGCTGAGGGTATAAAGATGGCTCCCAGATCCAGGAGAAGCAAGTCAATGCATGCAAGATGATGAAACAAATCACTAAGAACAGAAATAAAGATGACTCTGTTAACCCAATACCAACTCCCTGGAAGACACAGCCTAATGATGTCAGTGTTCTCACTAGCAAAGACGGACAAAACATGGGGAGGTCAGAATAGAGTGCAGCTGGATGGAAGTCACTCCACACGGCTGACTAAAGAATACAAGGAGGTTAGAATAGAGTGCGGCTGGATGGAAGTCACTCCACACGGCTGACTAAAGAATACAGGGTGGTTAGAATGCAGAGTGCAGCTAGATGGAAGTCACTCCACACGGCTAACTAAAGAATACAGGGTGGTTAGAATGCAGAGTGCAGCTAGATGGGAGCTGCCTGCCTCCACGTGACTTACTTGAGTATATGATTATCTAACAGGTAGTTAAGCTCAGCCACTTTTGTTTTTAAAAAGGAGAGATAATAAATGTCAATGTCATTTATAACTAGTAGAGAAATTCTAGAAAGTCTCCCAGGATATTAGTTTTAAAAAGACACTGTCAACACGAACAGAAAGTGAGTCTGCTCTCACCACAGTAAGGACACTAAGAGCTGGGCATGTACGGGTGACTGCTCAAAACAAAGAGGGCCTTCATCTTCCAATCAAGGGCCTGGACAAGCTGCTGGGTTCCAAAGGGATTAACCTGGGGTTAACACAGGTTGGTCTGGAATTTGAGATTCACTTGCCTCAGCTTCCTCAGTGCTAGGATTACATGCCACCACTTTACTACTTCTTAAAGATGAGAATGAAACCAAAAAACTGGTCCCCGATATTCTGAAGTTCCTCAGCTCTGAAGTATTAGCAAACATTTGCAGTATCTTTACATATTCATTTAGCAGTTTCATATATAATTCTATAGCAAACTATAGAGGTGACACTCTAGCTGCAGGTCCAGGTCAGCTCAACCTCTACAGATACTCATAATCCAACTTTAGAGTTGAATTTCATTTATTTCTCAAGGTGCTTTCCCATTCTCCCACAGTCATTGAAATGACACCAAACAACAGATTCTTTTTGAACAAAAAGGAATGTAGAACTGTTTCTCCTCCCTTCTTTTGTTTTCAAACAACTCAAGTTGGCATTTTTAACTACAAAGTGCAGATTTCTGTGTGGCTGAGGTCTAGAAGAACAGAGGCTGTGTTGGCTTTATAACCGAGTTCTACTAAAGGCTTGTTTGGCTATACTGTTACTGAACATCCAAGCCCTTCCTGGCCAGGGCCCTCCAGAGCCTGTGCTTTAGAAGTGTGCAGCACTACGGATACTGATTGTCTAGCCGAGCATCTCACAAGGCAGCAGGTGTGGTGGAGAAATGCCACACTGTCAAGACTCCTGAATTCTCAGGAGCCTCAGCCTCAGCCCCGCCACTAACTGCTCCAAGATAATGGACTAGTGACAACCACCCTCCAGTTTCTTCTTCTGTACAGAAAAGACACAAAGTTTCTGTTCAGATGGTGGTGACTGTTTGAAACTTGTAGAAGTCCTTGGGAAACACACTAGCTACTCTCTTACCCCACTTGGAATTCCAGTATAGAGTGGGGCTAATTCACCCATTTCCGTGGAGGACTACTGTGTGCTCCTGGTTAGGAGTGAACACTAGCAGTTAACATTCATGGAGTGCTCAGTGTGCACCAGGCACCTAGCTACTTATTCTATAAATATCACCTCACACTATTGGCACTGCTGCATCCCCTAAGCACGTCATTGTAACAAGACACACTTTTAAGAGCCAACTGTCAACTAGGTGTAGGAACATTTCTAACTGAAACCTTAAAATGCTGTCGGAAACTCATCTCCACTATGAGGCTCTTATACAGAGGCCATCCTGAAAAGGACCCAATTAGTTTCTCGAGTGATAGATCACAGCTTGGTGTGCCATGTTCAGTTCAGTTCAATTCACTACAAAACACATCTTTTTAAAGGGCCCATTTTAAGTTATCCCTCTCTCTCTCTCTGATCATCATGATGGAAATCACCTGAAAATGTGAAACATAATTGTAGCCGAAGCTTTAAAAAAAAAAAAAAAGGCTTCCTGGAAAGCATAATTAGGATATATTATTCAATACAGAACACAGCATTTGAAGGTAGGGAATCCAACTGAACCCACACGACTCGTGTAGGAAAGTCAGGACGCTGTGGCAAGATATGCACAGATGAAACTTTAGGAGCTGCCTCCTGCTTTGTTTTCAGGCTACACAGAAAGTTAAGTTACATGTTTAGTTTCTAAGAGCAATTTTCTCTGCTTTAGATTCAAAGCAGAGAATATAATTATATTTTGCTTATAATTTGCTGATTTTTGTATAAGCTGGTCCCTTGCAGGTAGATAAAAATAAAAAAACCTAAATAATTCTTTCATAGCAAGTTGTCAGCGCCACCTTGACCTGAGGCCTCAATCCCTGAAAGCCACACAGTTCATGCATCATGTGGAGTGTGTTACAACAGTCAGTGCTACTCAGGACAGTGTTGAGAAAAAGGTCAGTTCAACTCACGGATTTAGTGATAACCCACTTTGAGCAGGACAGAATTTGTACTGCCCTCAGTGAGACTTGGCCTTGACTCAGCCCCTCAGACTGAGAAAAGCAGGGAGCTAAGATACTCAGTAGTGTTTCTCCAAGCCTGTCTACAGAACTCTGAAAGGAAAATGAACGAATGAACGAATGAACGAACAAACAAAACAAGACCCAAACCTGAAAACAGCAAACATCTCTTACAACATACTATTATGGTAGGGATAAACTTTAAAAGCAGCATTAATAATGGCCTCAAACCTTAGCTTTCTCCTCCCCACCTATACAAGGCTGCCGAACTGCTAAAATAGATTCAAGTTTATAGGAGCATACTGTGGTGGGGAGTGGTGAACAGGTGGGAAAATTCTCTTCCAACTCCTACAAGGACATTGACCTGACCCCTAGCTGCCCACACTGCAGCCGTGGGGACGTACTAACACCTGTAGGAGCTGATCCTCCATTCCAGACGTCTTCCTCTGAGCCTTCTCTGGAGCAGCAGGACTAAGTATCCAAATTTCCTTTCTTTCTAAAGAAATTAAATTCTTTCCTTGGTCAAGGATGCTCAATGTAAACTGAAATAGTTTCCCCTTTAGGTTCTGGCCCGATTACTGTAAGCATAGCAGTTCAAAAGTTTCCTATTTGTGACGCAGAGGAAAGAATGAAAAGCGACCCAATGTACCAACACTAAGTAAAGAGCCCTCCAGAGAGGCTCTCAAAGGGAGCTACATATTAGTCTGCAAAACACTCTTGAGAATGTGGGCTGTTGCCTTCAATTAATAGATCAAACAATGGGGCGGCAAGCTGACAGCAAATGGATGACAGTCGGGAAAAAACACTGCTCAGTGCTGATTCCCATCTTCTTACATTAATCCTCTTTTGCAAGAAAAAAAAAATCAAGGTATTTGTATTCTCTTTGGGGAATGAAAGGAGTGCTCACAAAATTAAAAACAAAAACAAAAACTGGAATTAGACCCAGCACCAATACCATCAACAATATGTAGCCTTCTAAGTTTCTATTCCATGTTACCCCATTAGTTTCCATAACTGTAATTAGGGAAGGGAAATGCCCATTTTTCAAAGGCAAAACCTATTTGCAGGTTAAACCCTTAGCTTTCTGAGTCTAACTGGTGCTCCCTGAAAATAACCCACTCCTTCTATAATGCACTCTTAAAATAGAGGTGAAAGGACAAAATAAGTAAACTACGTTCCCAACACATACTCCACCAGAGCGCCAAGGGAGTGTGTGCTACATGAGCAGAGAAAAAGAGCATGACAATACCATGGAGGCAAGCCCTTAGTGAAAACATCTTCTCCACTGTCCACCCAGATTAGTGTGGGGTATTAAGGTAAGGAAAGGTACAAGTAGCCATGGATCAAGCAAGCTTCTCTTCTTAGTCTCAGGCTTCTGGGCCCAGCCAGTTTCAAAAAGATACTGTGTCTCCTTAGTATTCTAATTAAAAAAAAAAAAAAAAGAATATACATAGCTGTTCAAGTGGCCATTATGTCAGTATTCGGGCATAGAAGGTCTCTCCTATGAGAACATATAGTGACCACTATTTTCAACATTGATGCTAGGTAATGCCCTGAATGCTGCTAGAAATAAAGGAAGACCGCCTGCCCAGCAAGGGACATAGAAGAAGCACTAAGAAGCCCCCAAATGCTCAAGGTTTCCAGATAGCCACCAAGAAGCAGTGAGTGGATACTGGTCCATTAGGAAGTGACACGCTAGAGGAGTGGGAGAGGTGACTGCTAATCACCGTAAGAGTTTTGCAAGTGTCAATCTGACTAAATGCCCCTCGAATTCTGTACTTCCTGCATCAGCTAATATACCCAAGGCAAACAGGACAACAGCAGATGGAAAGGGCCATGTTTCCCAGCTGAGTATTCGAGCAATCTAATTTGCGGTTCTTGCTACAGCAGCAATGGCCCATGGAAGCAAGACCAACAGCCACTTCCGGTAGCCTTGCATAAAACTTTGCTTTCTCCTGCTCCTTTAATTTGCACGGTGAACTGAAGCCCAATCACCTCCAGGACCTGTAGGTCAAGGCCCTACATGATGCAGAACAACTGGCTTTTTATGATCTATACATGATGCTCCCTTACTTTCCAGTGCAGTTTCCAACTCTGTGCACACGGTCCTGCTCCACCAAAATGACCTAGCTACTTATGGGATTTTCTTTTTGCCATTTTGAGATGAACCTGTAAACGTGAGAATTCAGGGATCTGAGGTACTTCACATGAACACACTCAAGTATCAGTCTCTCACTTTTTAAAAAACAAGAACACAGGAAAACGAGTCCCCTTCCCTCTCCCCTCAGATGTGTGTGCATTCCCACGAGGCTGACCATGGCTACCTCTGCACCACGTCACTGATTTCCTGTACACATGACAATAAGTTATTAAGGACAGGGTTTGTCCCAGGCACACCAGCAGCTGTGGAAGACACCTGCAGCTCCTGTAGGCTAAGTTCCAGTTTGCTCACAGCCTCTCGGAAGGCAAATTTGTTGCGAGTCTGAGGGATGCAGTCCACATACCCTGAGCAGTAGTCAAGCAGCTGGTGCCCAGTGTCTACCAGTTGGCTATTGGGCACAGGTTCCGTGATTGCACTGGACAGTAGGTCAGCACACTCCAGCAGGGCCTCTTTGCTGATTTTGTCAGCTGAGATTTTCTCAGCTGCCTGTTTGGTTTTTCTCAGGGCCACCTTAGTACCTGGTGTGCCATTGGCCATTTTGGCTGGCGAGATGGAAGATGTGGGCAAAGGCACTTGAGGTGGAGGCATCACTGGCCTCCCAGGTTTCCCACTACTGGGCACTGGCCCTGGAGCCGCCTTTTTTCCTCCCTCCTGGGTTTGTGGAGCGGGCTGTCCTGCAGGTGGGGCAGTCGGCTCTTCCTCGGGGTCTGAGCATGTGGATGGATGCTGCAGTAGTCTCATCACTGGGGGTGGGGGTGGGGCACACTTTGGTTTTACCCGTCGGGGTCGGTCCTTGTCTCCAGAGGATGTGACCTGATGCTCAGATAAGAGCTTGAATTTATTCCCCTGAGAGTCTGTGCCAATGAGCTGCACGTCAGCTGGAGTGTGTTTCAGAGTGGGTGAGATAAGGACTGGCACTTTGTGGTTGTGGGTGGTTGGGAGGACAGCTACAGCCTTAGCTGGAGAAGACCAGCCTGGCTGCTCTCCATCCTCTGGGACTCCAGCGACTCCAAGTCGCGTCCCACCATTCCTTTCCTTGCCTTTGGGGGCAGCTGCCACTCCAGCCACCCCTACCCCTGGAGAGTCACTCTCTGTGATGGCTGGATCAGGGGCTCTCAGGGGAAGAGCTGTGGCTCCTCTGGGCAATAGTTTGGCTTTTGGTCTCTCCCTGGCTGGAGCAGCACCTTCCTCAGATTTTTTTGGAAGCATGTCATTAGCCCTGTCCACATTCTCTTCTGGTTGAGAAGAGGTGGACACTGTCCTTTCCAGCTGGAGTTTGGACCTCTGGCAGTTCCTGGGAAGGGTCATTGCCATCCTATCCTGCTCTGGAAGCCCTGAGGACATGGAAGATGTAGAGTTTGACCTTGGAAAAGGCTTGGAAGTGTCATCACTGGCTGTGGGTTTACCTGCTCGTAAGCCCAGTGTCTTTTTGATTAAGCGAGGTGTAAAGAAGCCTGTGATGCCAGACCACCCACCCCCAGCAGTGCCACTGCCCCCACCCCCACCACTGTCATCATTACAGAAGCTCCTCTGTGCAAAGCTCCCCCCATAGCACTTGGCTGGCACCAGATTCGACTCTTGCTGGCCGGGAGCGAAAGAGAACCCATCAGCATGCTGTAGAGAAGCAACAGATGAGAAGTTACCCGTGAGTTCATATTTCTTGTGGGGCTGGTTCTCCATTTCTCGAAAGGAGCTGCTGCGCTTAGGGGGTGTGGGGGCATTTCTCTTTTTCATGAAGGAGCTGAAGAAGCCTCCCTTTCTATCCCTGGTGAAGCATGTCTCTTTGGCATCTTCTAAGAGGCTGCTAGGTGACTTATCTCTTTGCTTTCGAGGCAGAGCTGGGGACCCACTGGAAGCCTGTGCACTTCTAATGAAGCCTGCTGAGAAATGGCCAATCAATAACAGGAAAGACAAAAGGTGAGCCGGTTAGCATGACTAAATTAGAAAAGTTCTGTCTGCATTTATTAGCCATCAGATGTTGGCATTGTGTAAGAAATTAACAAATACACCATCGTTTCAGTGACTGTGATGTGGATACTAATGGTGACACTTGCTGTTTGTTCTGTTTTCATCCCTTCTCTACAATACAGATGTACCTGCGGCCACCCATCTGGGTAACTATCTGGGAGCCAGAGGCTAAGAAAACAGAGCTGGTAGCAGGCTGTATGTTGCATAGATAGGACTGCCCACACTGGCAGGGCAGGGCCAAGGTCCAGAGCATCACAACCCCTAATTCTTCAGGCATACACTTTCTGCTCTGACCCCTACCTGGTGCTGAACTGGAGGCCAGGCTCTCGGAGGCATCGAGGAGGCCGCCATCTACGTTCTCTTTGTTGTCCCCCTGTTTCTTCAAGGTCCGAGTCTTGGAAGGAAGCAGAGGTAATCGAGGCAGGTATGGGACCACAGATGATGAGGAAGCGGCTCTCCCAAGCTCCTCAGCTACCTCTGTGAGAAAGACAAGGTTTTGGAAAAAAAAAAAAAAAAAGACAATCTTAAGACAGAGACCAATGTATACAACAGAAAAAGGAGAGCAGAATACTGAAGTGCAAAATTCAGAGGGGGAAACAGTCTGCCCTATGATCCCAGAAGGCTGAGGCTGGGGGAGCCATTCAGCCCAGAAGCATGAGTCTAGCCTGGGTGGATGGCAAAATGTCATCTTGAAGATAAAAAAATAAATATACAAAGCATATAATGAAATCAGAGTATATGATCTTACGTGTGCACATGAGCTTGTACATGTGGAGGACAGAGGCCAAGGCCAGGTGTCTCCCCCAACTGCTTCCCACCTTATTTTTTGAGACAGGGTCTCTCTCCAGTCCAGAGCTCACTGTTTTAGCTAGATGGACGGGCTAGCAAGCCAGTGATCTTCCTATCTCCATCTTCCACAAGACATGTGTATGCTGTCGTGCCCAGCTTTACATGTGGGTGACAGGGAACTGAATTCAGGTCCTCTGATCTGAATGCCAAACACCTTACTAATTGAACTTCCTCCCAGCCCCGCATATAGTCCTATATACAACTTCTTTTACTCAACATTATGTTCCTGCATGTGGCAGGATCTCTTTCTCATTGCATAGTAGCATTGTGATGTGTGGTACTACCAAAACTCACTTGCCCTCCTATTGATGGTTATTTAGGATCTTTCCAATTTTAACGACTATGAGTATGTTGCTAGGAACAACCTGATACATATTTGCTGGTTCACAAGGCCATGTACCTCTAATTGATATAAACGGATAGGTCATGGGGTGAACATTTACTTTTTTTTTTTTTTTAAATCAGGTTCTAACCAATATAACAGCCATATCGCCAGTGTGTAAATGTTCTGGTTACGTACTTGGCCTGCAAAAAATTGACGCTGTCATTCTATAGTGTATGTAACTTTAATTTTGCTCATTCTGGTAGGTATGTCATGGGAATCTCAAGGTTTAATCTGTACTTCCTGCTGGCGAGTGATGCTGCTCATAGCGTCACGTGCTTAATAGGCTCAGTGGGCATCTGGAGAGCCTCACTCACTAAGTGCTGCTCAGATGCGGAATAAAGGGACGCATGTTTTAAGTTGCAGTTTTCACTAAAAAGAAGAGTAATATAATTTACTCCATTTCATCATGCAAGTGAAACAAATCAGTAATTCACACACACACACACACACACACACACACACACCCCAACTAATCAACTATGCAACTACAACAGGAAAAACAAAAAACCTGATTCTTTTGAGATGGGGATGTCACTCAGGTGGTAGAGTGCCTGTCTAACATGCATGAAACCTTGGGTTCAAGCCCAAGTACCAAAATTTAATCAACAAAAACACCCACCCCAAAACAAAGCCCAATTATCAAAATAGTGTTCACTTTGTTGGTCACCCCGGCTGCTGAGTCATGAGTTTTGTGGCCTTTTTTTTTTTTTCTTATTTATTTATTATGCATAGAGTGTTCTACCTGCATGTATGCCTGAAGGTCAGAGAAGGACACCAGATTTCATTATGGATGGTTGTGAGCCACTATGTGGTTGCTGGGAATTAAACTCAGGACCCATTAATGCTTATATTCTGGGCCTTCTCTCCAACCCCAAAATGTGTTTTGTTTTGTAGCCCTGACTGACCTTGAACTCACAGAGATCCACTTGCCTCTGCCTCCCAAGTGCATGAAAGCAGAGATGATGTTTGTAGCTTTTACTGGAGCAAAATATACTCTTTATTCTTAAACAAAAATGAAACACAACCAATTGAATTGTAAAAATTTGTTACCACTCAATAAATTTTTATTACACTTATTTGGTGTGTGTGTGTGTGTGTGATGACAACTTGAGGGAAGGATGAAGATATTTTTTATTAAAATATCAATGTTACACTTCTGTTTCCCCTTTTCTTACCTCATGTGTTAAATCACTAGAGGAAGACAAAATCCAATTCTCTTATTTTCTTCTAACATTTTAAAACTTGAAATTACAAGATTAATTCTACACAATTATAAAGGGAAGGAAAAGTTTATATAAAATTCCAGAACTATATCACAGTGTCATATAAAACTCTGTAGTCTTAGCATTCCAAGAACAAGGTCTCACTCCATAAGATAAAAAGGCAGGATATTGACTTTATTAGTCTCATGATGTAGCTCAGGCTAGCCTTGAACTTGAGATCTTCCAGCCTTTTGAGTGCTGAAATAACTGGTGTGCCACCACACACGCCGCTTATTCCTCACCTTCTCTGGGTATATTATTATGAGTACTGCACACAAAAGCAAGCAACTTCCTGCATGTGCCCATGTTCCCTTTTCTTAAGTAAGGAGAAGCATATTTTTATTGATAGCCTAATATATTTAAGGGTATATATGGTTATACAACCAACAATCCACTAGAGCTCAGGTTGTTCCAACTTTTTTCAATGTTTATAAGCTACACTCACTCAGATGCCATATCTGCTAGATAAATCTTGGTTATACTTGATGTATTTCTAGAAATGGAATTTCATGATATTGATGGGGGGGTCTGGGTCTTGCCTTAAATGTGGTTTAGAATTAGAATATATTTATTTTTAAAAGATTTATTTTAATTATGTACACATGTGGGGGTATACATACATGAGTGCAGGTACCCACAGAAGCCAGAAGAGGGCACTGGAGCCTCTAGAACAGTGGTTCTCAACCTTCCTAATGCTGTGACCCTTTAATAGTTTCTCATGTTGTAGTGACCTCAACCATAACATTATTTTCATTGCTACTTCATAACTGTAACTCTGCTACTGACATGAATCATTACATAGTAAATATCTGATATGTGACCCCTGTGAAAGGGTCATTCAACAACCCCAAGGGGTAGAGACCCATAGGTTGAGAACACTGCTCTAGAGCCAGGGTTACAAGTATCGTGAGTCACCCCAACCAAGTAGGTGCTGAGAAGTAAATTCTGGTTATGGCCCTCTGCTAGAGCAGTAAATGTCCTGACTGCTGAGCCATCTTTCCAGCCCCTAGAGCATTTGCTTTTTGTTTGGTTATTTGTTTTGCTTTTTTGAGACAGGGTTTCTCTGTAGCTTTGGAGGCTGTCCTCTAACTCACAGACATTCTCCTGCCTCTGCCTCCCAAGTGCTACGCCACTACAATATTTTCCACTTATTTTTAATCTTCCTTGTATTATGTTGAGGACTACAGAAATTACTGATTTTCTTTGTAGAGACTGAGAAAATTTCAGATCAAAATGTAATTTCAGTATGAAATATGATATAGAAAACTCCAGAACTCCCAGGCAGTGGTGGCCCACACCTTTAATCCCAGCACTCGGGAGACAAAGGCAAGCAGATCTCTGTGAGTTCGAAGGCCAGCCTGGTCTCCAGAGCGAGTGTCGGGATAGGCTCCAAAGCTACACAGAAAAACCCTGTCTCGAAAAACAAAAGTCAACTTTAAACAGTTAAAAACTGTAGGAACTGCCCATTTTTGAAATGACCATCACTGCCCTGCAACTGGACACCAGTAATCAACTCCCTGCCCCAAGATTTACCTTCAGAGATGCTGGAGTCATGAAACATTGTTTCAAAAGCTTGATGGGTTTCAGCAAAAGAGGGTCTGTCAGCAGGGCTCCACTTCCAGCCTGCAGCAGAAGAGAAATTACAGCCTCCTTGATAATCTAGTCACGCCCAGGAGCATTACCAGCATCAGGGTTCCCGCCCATGGGGTGGGCCTATTGGAGTGCAGCATGTGCACTGTGGGACTCTGGCTACTTCTCGGCTCCACCTGGAAGTGTGAGCGCCTACTCCTTGGTACTGGCACTGTTTAGCCTTAGTCCCCATTCCCACTACTACAAAAATGAGGAAAAGTTGTGGAGAATGTTTAGAAAAGTGAACAAAGGGCTGGTGAGATGGCTCAGTGCTCGCCACCAAGTCTGACGACCTGAGTTCAACCCCTGGGTTCCATGTGGTGCAATGAGAGAACTTATAGAAACTCTCTCTTGACTCCTACACTAACACTGCAGCACACACACACCCATGCCCCATAAATAAACACATGTAACTTAAAAAATGGCTGGTTAGGCATGGAAGCACACACCTTTAATCCCAACACTGAGGAGGCAGAGGCAGACAGATCTCTATCAGATCAAGGCCAGTCTGCTGGACACACTGAGCTCCAGGCCAGCGGGGGCTTCATGATGAGACACTGTCTTAAAAAACAAACAACAAAAAAACACAACCAGGTTCTTAAAAAATTGAGTGTATAAATTCAGAAGATTAACAGAGTTCACACTTGATAAATGTTAGCATGAGACACAAATACTCAATGAGAAAACAATATGGTAAAAAAAAAATAACAGTGATGTGTGAACACAGCACACTTTGACTTACTACTCCCATCCCTAAGTTTGCATCCTCAAGGAGTCTGATGCTTTCCTTCACGTTCTTAAGAGATTACTTTTCAGTTTTCATGTATGTGGTAAATGCATGGGAGTGTGCACTTAGATGCCACATGTAAGGCACGTGGAAGCCAGAGAAATGTCTTTCTCTACAGTTCTATGCTTTACTGTCCTAATGTAGGGTGTCTCTTACTGAACCTCAAGTTTGTCACTTGAGCTAAGTATGCTGGATGACCATACTTTAAGAGCTCCTGGGACCTCTTAAAATCCCTCATGCTGGGGTTACAGGCATGTGCAGTGGAGACAGGCTTTTTACACGATTACTAGGGATTTGAACTCAAGTCCTCACGCTTGCAGAGCAAGTGCTCTCACACTGAGTCACCTCCTAGCCCATTGGAGGTTACTTTAACAGTCACAGTCTTTAGTAACTGAAAGTAGACATCTCCTAACATATTATGCAAACTCAATCTCTCATTGTCTTATTAAATATACAGATTTTTTTTTCTCGAGAAACTGGCTCTATATTTGAGCCACAGACAACTATTCTTAGGATTCCAATAAGACTTAATGGTACAACATGTACTGTGCCAACTGGCCCTGTCAACGACAAGCTCTTTAAATGTTAATGAGACTAGATCCAGTCTAATAAGACTGAGAGCAGAAATGGTGCGGATGTCATTAACCATCCTGTTGCTGGTTCTTTTTCAAAGCTCAAACATGCAAAACACTTACATGCTCTCATAAGTTCATATACTTTAGGGGGGCATCCCTCAGGCTGTTCCATTCGATATCCTTTTTCCAGTAGGTCATAGACTTGAGACAGGTCAATACCTGGATATGGCGACATCCCATATGTAGCAATTTCCCACAACAGTACTCCAAAAGCTGTGTAAAGGGATTAAAGAATATATTTCTATTGGCCCCAGTTCCAAATTTCTATACTAATTTGGTCTACTGAGTGTCTCTAGTTACTCATTCTACTTCTCAGGGGAGTAGAAATTAGATCCAGGACAAGGACAAATTCTAGATGAAACATTATCAGATCTTCCTTATAGAGAGCGTTCCTATGACAGAATTCTGGAAATGAGCAGAACCTCACACAAAAAGCAGGAAGCTTGAGAGAGGAAGGACTGTTACAGCTCCAGTGCAGTATGAGGTCTAGACTGGACTCTCTTTTGTTTTTGTTTTCTCCCTAAAGACAGGCTCTTACATAGTCCAAGCTGGCCTAAAACTTACTATATAGCCCAGGCTGGCCTGTACTCCACCTTGTGCTCCCTACTCCTTCAGTCTCCTGAGTGCTGAGATCAGAGCCTACACCACCTAGCCAAGCTACTTAGTTGTTGCTCACACAGTCTCGTCAGATTGTCCAGGCAGGACTCAGAGGATCTGAGCATCTGGGGATCCAGGGAGCTGGAGTTCAGGCATCTGCTACCATGCTCACTGAACATTTACAGGATTTTCATACTGGGGAATGGCCCAGGGTCTTGGACCAAACCAGACAAGTACTCTACCACTAAACTATATCCCATCCCTATATACCTCAAGCTGGCCTTCCACTTGCTAAGTAAGTAGCTCAGTCTGGCCTCACTCCAGACTCCCAGGTTTCCTATCTCAGATTCCTGAGTGAGTGAGTGAGTGAGTGAGTGATGTTATTACATGTGTTTATTCTTTCCCAGTTATTTCTACCACCTTCTCAATGTAATTTTTTTTTTTTTTTTTTTTTTTTTTTTTTTTTTGTATCATAAAAGCTCTGTAGAGGGCTGGAGAGATGGCTCAGAGGTTAAAAGCACTGATTGATCTTCCAGAGGTCCTGAGTTCAATTCCCAGTAACCACATGGTGGTTCATGACCATCTATAATGAGATCTGGTGTCCTCTTCTGGCCTGCAGGCATACACGCAAGCAGAACACTGTATATATAATAAATAAATAAATCTTAAGAAGAAAAAAAAAGCTCTGAAGAACTAAGGGAATTAATTGGACATGGTGGCAAATGCCTATGGTCCTCACTCAAGAGGCTAAGGCTGAAGAACTGCCCCAAATTTAGGGCCTAGTTTATACTGAATACCAGGCCAGCCATGGCTAATGTTAAATAAATAAAATACATGTAAGAAGTTGTGTCAACCTTACCCCAGACATCAGATTTAATTGAAAAGGTATTGTAGGCCAGACTCTCAGGTGCTGTCCATTTAATAGGAAATTTGGCTCCAGCATGAGCAGTGTAGGTATCTCCAGTCATCAGTCTACTTAAACCAAAGTCAGCCACTTTTACTACATGGTTTTCTCCTACCAGGCAGTTCCGTGCAGCAAGATCTCTATGGGAAAGAGAACCCTGTGTTATTCCAGCTGATGGTGAGAAAGACGTATCCGAACACTCTAGTCTTGGCTCGTCATAGAATAATGTAGAGTTGAATAACGCAGAGTTGGTAAGGAAATGCCAAATAATGCTAATATTTTGATAATCACCAACATGAAAACTCAGTTTCTACCATTCATTCAGTACCCACAAGGAGGCAGAATAAAGATGTTGGACAAAATGAATTCCTTTTTAAGTGTAATGGGATAGATTTCAAGGGGAGCAACAGACCCCTCCCTGAAGGCTTTAAAACACTTTCCTAAGACAGAATGAATGGTACTTCAAAATGTGGCCACTAGGTGGAGCAAAAGGATCTTGGATGTAGTGTTAGGCAAAACAGCTTTCTGGTTTGAGACTGTAACAGACAGACTTCTCTGTGTGAAATGTTCTGTAAACTATCCCCTTCACGTTCATGTCAAGCAAGACAGCTTTGTAGTTAGTCATACGCAATAGGCAGGTTTACACACCTATGGATGAAATTCTTCTTCTCCAAATACTCCATGGCAGAAGAGATCTGAGTGGCCATGTAAAGTAGAACAACGGCTGTCACCTCCTCACGGTTGCATTCCCGGAGATAATCAAGCAGATTCCCGTAGGGCATGTATTCAGTCACAATGTAGAACGGGGGCTCCAGGGTACATACACCTGACCAAGAACAATTTGACAATCTTCACCACATTCTATGAAATAAATACAACAAAAATCTAAAAACAGGTTATTAAGAGCCTGTTTCACCGTGCTGTCCTCTGCAGCTTCACAGCATCTGCACCCCGCCCCCTTTTGTTTGTTTTTTCCAGACAGGGTTTCTCTGTGTAGCTTTGTAGATCACGCTGGCCTCCAACTCACAGAGATCCGCCCACCTCTGCCTCTCTAGTGCTGGGACTAAAGGTGTGCGCCACCACACCTAGCGCAGTTTCTTACATTAACCCGACAGCCCCTTCAACTGTGTGCAAACCATGTTATCACAAGTAACAGAACTTAGGCCTATGCTGATGCTTACTTGCTCTAACTACTTTGTAAAACTGTCTCCACAGTTGATTTCATTATCATATGGCAGATTCCATATTAATTTTCTTATGGCATAGCTTAGCTTAATTAAATATTCAAAGAAAATGGCCCAGTAAGGCAGTGGTGGCACACACCTTTAATCAGAACACTTTAATCAGGGAGGCAGAGGCAGGCGAATCTCTGTGAGTTCAGGGCCAGTCTGGTCTACAGAGTAAGTGCCAGGACAGCCAGAGCAACTTTATGATAAGACAGAGAAACCCTGTCTTGCCAAAAACCAAACAGGCCCGACTTTTAAAAATGGAAAATATTTAATCAAAGACTCCTTTGTAGCACAAACAGATTAAAAAAAAAATAACCCACTGCAGCATATTCATTTCCTGCTTTAATAAATTGATCAGCCACAAGTTTTAATTCACTTTTTTCAGTGGTTCTTTGCTTAAAGTCTCTTAATATTTCATGACAATTTTTAGATGCCATCTTGAATGCTTGTGAACTATGAACCTGGGGAAAGCACAAACTGGACAGCTTACACATTGCAATCAGTCTGTGGCTGGAGTTATGATGGAACTAAGAGCACTGGCTGCTCTTCCAGAGGACCAGGGTTTGATTCCTAGCATCCACGTGGCAACTTTCAGCCATCTGTAACTGAAATTCCAGGGCATCCAATGCCTCCTCTGGCTTCCAAAGGCACCACAGCACACAGATACACATGTAGGCAAAACACCCAAACACATAAACTAAGCAAAAAAAAAAAAAAAAAAAAAAATGTAAAGGGGCTGAAGAGTTGGTTTAGTGGTTAAGAGCACTGGCTGCTCTTCCAGAGGACCTAGTTTTGATTCCCAGGACCCACAGGGTGGCTTATGGCCACCTACAACTCTAGTTCCAGGAGATCCAATGTCCTATTCTGGTTTCCTTGGGCATTGCAGACATATACATCCAGGAAAAACATGCATACATACAAAATAAAAGTTTTAAAAAAAGCAATCAACTCGATGCACTGTTTTTTGTTTTAATGAGTCTATTAGTTAAAAGAGAAGGGATGTGCGTGCACTCGCATCCCTGTGTGTGTTTGCGGCACTAAGCCTAGAACGTGGTGCTTACTAGCTCCCCCCTGGTCTGCATGCCCAGCTCATGGTATCGTTAATACAGTCAATGCACAGCTAGCATTTCCACGGTGCTAAAACAAAACAGAACAATCTGCAAAAACACAATCTGCAGACAACAAAACACTAGGGTGGGCGCGTGGGCCTGAGGAAATCTGTGGTTTGGGATTCTTACCTAACAGTTGTACTAGATTAGGATGCTTGATTTCCTTCATCACTGCAGCTTCTTTCAGGAACTCCTCGACCTCCATGGTATCTTCCTGTTAAAGGGAGAAAGTAGATAAGAAAAACAAAAAGGAGGTCAAACCTCCCTCTTATTCATTTAAGTCAACCCATAAGCCTACTTCAGGTAGAAAAGCAAAAGGGCCTGAGAGATGGTTCATTAGTTAAAAGCACTTGTTGCTCTTGCAGAGGACCTGGGTTTGGTCCCCAGCACCCACATGGCAGTTCATAACCATCTGTAGTTTCAGGGACTCTGATGCCCTCCTCTGGGCTCCCTGGGCACTGCACCCATGTCGTGAACTTAAAATGCAGGCAAAACACTCATACACATAAAATATGTTTTTTAAATAAAAGAGACCAAGAATACTGTCCTTGAATTTATCCAGTGTCAGACATTTGACTAAAAATAAAAAGGGTAAGCAAAATTCAACAGCCTCAGCTGGGGTGGCACACAACTTTAATCCCAACACTCGGGAGGCAGAGGCAGACAGATCTCTGTGAGTTCGAGGCCAGCCTGGTCTTCAAAGAGAGTTGCAGGACAGCCTCCAAACCTACAAAGAAACCCTGTCTCGGAAAAAAATAAAAAAATTGAACAGCCTCATCTTACAACTCACAATAGAGGGGCTGAGACTGATCGGATTAGATCCTGGTTTTTTTTTTTTTTTTTTTTTTGGTTTTTCGGGATGGGTTTTCTCTGTGGCTTTGGAGGCTGGCTGTCCTAGAACTAGCTCTTGTAGACCAGGCTGGTCTCGAACTCATAGAGATCCGCCTGCCTCTGCCTCCCGAGTGCTGGGATTAAAAGCGTATGCCACAAACGCCCAGCCTACTTGAGAATCTTAAAGTCACATGGTCTAACACTTAAGTCTGTGCTATTGACATCATGCTTTATAAATGGTTATAGCCAGGTGTGGTGGTACATGCTGTTAATACTAGCAGTTGGGAGGCAGAAGCAGACAGATCTCTGTGAGTTCAAGACCAGCCTTATCTATACAACAGCAAGCTCTGGGTCCAACCATGGCTACACAGTGAGACCCTGTCTTCCTTTAGAAGTCCAGTGTGCTATCCATTGCACCACGGAGCCACCTGAGATCCTGTCTTAAGGGAAAAGAAAATAGTTTACAGCTCTATGCTATAATTCCAAGGACCCACCAAGAAACCTAAAAGTTTCAAGAATGCAAGTATAAACTGGACATAGAGATGCAGGCCTCCCCAGTGCTGGGATTAAAGACGTGCGCCACCAATGCCCGGCTTGTTTGTTGCTTTTTTTAAAGATTTATTGAAGTATGCATTTTATGTACATAAGTGCTCTGTCTTCATGCACACCAGAAGAGCGCACCACATTTCATTAGAGATGTGAGTCACCATGTGGTTGCTGGGAATTGAACTCAGGACCTCTGGAAGAGCAGCCAATGCTCTTAACCTCTGAGCCATCTCTCCAGCCCCAATCCTATGTTTCTTAAAGAACAAAGCACATGTGCAAGGCCTCACTGCTTCCTTCACATTCAGAATATGTAAACAGGGCTGACTACTACCCATGAGAACATCTCATATGAATTACTGACAATCTATGATTTTATACCATGACACTCAAAGGGACAGTAGGATCAGGAAAAGGACTTTTATGAATTTAAAAACAAGAAGTGATCTATCTAGCAGGGTGTGGTAGTACATACCTGTAAGCTCAGCACTTGGAGGCTGAGGCAGGAGAATCATGACTTGAAGGCCAACCTGGACTACTTAGTGACCCCCTGTCATTTTCACTTTAACTAAAAAGGGTGTCTCTTAACTGCAAGGAGGCAGAAGGGAGAAACAAAAGGCAGGGGGGATAGAGACCAAAATAGGGAGCTTATTCGTAGACCGCCTGGAGCATTCTGTTCAGCGGGGGTTGTTCTCGGCAGAACTTATAATTTCCTTCTAAATCTCCACTATGATCTATACCAACAGCCTCCAGAGATGAGCCTTCCCCACACGTGGGCTGTACTGCTGAGAATAATCTGCCCCTGCACTGTCAGCAACAGCACTAGGGTTAATCACCACAATTTGTTGAAGTGTTTGGCACCAGTGGGTGGAAAGTGTTCCAAAGTTGAAGAAGGGCACAGGGATCTTTCCAAGTGATTCACACACACACAGAGACATGCCTGGGAACTTAGCACTCAGCAACCCACCTTCAGTGTTTTCACAGCAACCGTAAGGCTGTATTTCTTCCAGACGCCAACATAAACCTCTCCATACTGACCACCCCCAAGTTTGTGCTTCATGGTAATATCTGTTCGCTCCATTTCCCATTTGTCATGGATGGGGGACACACCATAGACGGTCGGTTTATTACACTTGGGTGCTGGGTAATGTAGTGTGGTCACTAGCCCATCGGCCACTGTAGAGTGGTGGTGGACAAGCTCTGCCAGGGTGCTAAAGCGGCTCTCAGCAGTCACGTACACCTGGTGAGAAAGGAGACTCAGCAACACCAGAGAAGGGGTTTACTTTTAAAAGCATACGATTCACCCACCTAGAGACATGAAGATATGAGGACATTCGTTTGTTTTCTGAGACAGGGTCTCAACTATGTAGCCCTGATTGTCCTTGAACTCAAAGAGATCCACCTGCCTCTGACTCCAGAGAGCTCAAATTAAGGGTGTGCACCACTGTGCCTGACCTGTTGTTTTGTTTTGAGACAGGGTCTCCATTATGTAGCCCTGGCCAGCCTTGAGTACCCGATGCTTCTGCTTCCACCTACAAGGCACAGGGATTACAGGTGGTGTATGCTAGTGCTGCTAGTGCTCCAGGAGGTTACTGCAATTAAGGCAAAGTAAGTGTCAATGCTCAGGGCAAGGGAGATAGCTTAATCTCAATGTAAGCATCCTTCCTCTTCTTTCTAAACTAGCCTTGAAGGAGAACATACAACACAGCTGCACAGACATCAGGGAACCTAGTCCTCAGAATATTTCTAAGCAGCAAGCCTACAGAATGTCTAATTCAGCACTCAGAAGACTCTGGAGATAGGGCTTCTCAATGTAGCTCTGGCTGTCCTGGAACTTGCTCTGTAGACCAGGTTGGCCTTGAACTCAGAGACCTGCCTGCCTCTGCCTCCCAAGTGCTGGGATTAAAAGCATGTGCCACCACTGTCAGGCTGGCTTTATCTTCTAAGGGAGTATGATTTGTTTGTTTTTAATTAACTATTAATTTACATCCCTCTATATAATCCAGTCTGGTCTCAAACTTGTGATTTTCTTGCTTCAGCTTCATGAGTGCTGGGATTAGGGTATGTGCCATCATGTTTAAACAAACAATAAACCACTGTTCAAAACAAACAAAAAGTTGTTTTATTGTACATAAAAATTTACATAATTCGTAAATAGAGACCTAGTGGTCTTTCACAAAATAAACTCCTCCAGTAAACATCACCCATATACCAAGAGCACTGTGACATCACTAGCACCCCGCTAGCTGTTCACTCCTGCAAAGGTTTCCATTATGTACAATTCCAGCATGTGGGACTAGCTCTGTCTGAATTGCATGCATAGGAAATTACACAGTATGTGTTGATAGTGCCTGCTTTCTATTCTCTTTGTTAAACTATTATTCACATGCTATAAAATTCAGTATTTTATAGATTACCAACCCATCGCTTCCAGTACATTTACAAGGCTTGCTGATCAACCACCACTATTCAACTCCATGGAAATACTTTTATCATTCACCACAGAAAACCCATAGCAATGAGCGATCCTCTCCACACAATCCTCTGGCAAATAGTACTCTGTCAATCAGCTTTATGTGTATGAAATTCATCTATGACAGAGGCCAGAAAAATTCTCTGTAAAGGGATGGAAAACAGGTATACTGGCCTTGTGGCAATATAGGGTCTCTGAAGCAACTACTCAGATCTGCTTAGAAATAGAAAGTAGCTTCAGATACTACAGAAACAAATAACACGATGATATGGTAGCTAGTAGGCCACAGCTTCCTATGGACTTGTGTACAGAACATCATGTTAATTTCCGTTTCTGTAGGATATTCTATTTTAACACTATACCATAATTTATTAATCAATTACACTGCTTAGGACTTCTAGTTTGGTGTTATCATAAACACAGTGGCTGTGAATCAATGTTCTTGCATGAATCTGGCACATATGTGTAATCATTTCTGAAGGCCTGGCTGATCTGCATCTGGGGGTCCAATCAGTAAGCTTCTCTCTGCTCCCTTTCTGGTAGCTATGAGATGAACAGCCGCTGGAAACAGACTGAACTTTTTGAAACATGAGTCAAAATAAATGTTTGCTAACTGTTTCTCTCTGGTATTTGTCACAGAGACAAACAAAAGCAAACAACTAATAACTGCTGGATCTCTTGTTACATTACAAACTGATTCCATTCACTTGGGCCACAGACTAAATACACTATGCTTGTATAATGGTACAGAAAGAGAAAGAAAACTGGTATCAGCTATTAAACTTTACAAAAATTGCTTCACTTAATCCTTAAAATAATTCTACAAAATAGGGTTTAACAACAGACAAGGAGAAGACATAAGTGACAGCTTAGTGGTCAAAGTGCACACTACTCTTGAAGAGGATTGGAGTTTAGTCTCCAGCACCCATGCCTCTTCTGAAGGTCTCTGCTGGCCTGGACGGGCGTTGCACCCACATGCACAAACTCATTCACACTGGGACATACGACACATTATGTGTCATTAAAAAAATTCAAAAGTAAATGAAATTGAAAAAGTAATAGTAGACAGAGGAAAGCAGGTGTGGTGCACACCCACAATCCCAGCACTCTGAAGACAGAGGCAGGATGGCTGCTACAAGCTCAAATTCAGCATGGTCTACATGGCAAATTCTAGTCCATGTGGTGGTACACGGAGAGACCCTGTCTAAATCACTATCACCACAACACCAGGCAAACTGAGACTTAGATAAAGTCACAAAGTTAATAAATAATGCACTTACAGGGCAAAGCAGTCTTGTTTGCTCAAGGCCCACGCTTCTCTGCTATGTGTATGTCACATAGAGGGAGAAAGGGGGTTCAACCTAATTCAATAGAACAACGCAAGTTCAGGCCACAAAACTGATGTAAGTTCAGGCCTTATAATTTATGTTCCATTTTTGTTTTAAAGTTTAATTACTATTACTTTATTATTGCATGTGTATGAGTGTTTTGTCTATGTTTGTGCACCACATGTATACCTGGTGCCCATTGAGGCCAGAAGAGGACATTGGATCTCTCAGAACTGGGGTTATATATGTTGAGTTACCATGTGGATGCTGTGAATTGAACCTAGGTCCTCTGCAAGAGTAGCCAGTGCTCTTAGCACCAGAGCCAACTCTCCAGCCCTAAACAATTCCAGTCTAACACATGCGTGCTACTGAGATTGAGCTTCCCAACATACAAGTTTCTAAGGGGCTGGTGATCTACTCATATTAACATATACTAATGAGAAACACCAGTCTCCAAACTCTGCATTCTTACTCCGTGAACTTTCTAAGGGAGATCAGAGTTGATTCCTAACTTCTGTTTCTATGTACTTGGTATATATTTGATTATTAACTTTCTATAATTTTAACCTTATTATCAAGTTGTTTTGAAAGAAGGAAGCTCTTACATGCCAAACAGCCCAAATTCACACAATTAGACAATACTTTATTTCACATCAGACATAAAAATGATTTTTCTACTTTAACCCTGTTCCGTACATTTCTACATGTGCAGGTGGCTGCTGACAGGTCTTACCTTGCTGTCTGTGGTGGTATTGATCCTGTAGTGATACACACGTCCCTCATACCTGAGTGAGATGGACAGCTGCCCAGGGCTGCTCTCACTCTCTCGAACGAGGAAACTGCCATTGATCAGGCTGCTGAGGAGATACTCTGCTGCACTGCGGGACACAGGTCCATGGTACCAGGAATGTTTCTCCAGGCTGTTCACTGGAGTGATGTAGTTACTTGGCACCCAACCCTGTCCATTCTTGGAGCGAACTTCACTCCACTCACCATTCTGGTTGTAACCAAGGACTCGCAGTTTTTCACCTAGCCATGAAGACACCACAGAATGAAAGGGGAAACATTAGGATTCTTTAAGACTGAGCAGCGTAGTGTCAAACTTCAACCTCACTGAAAAATGAACCAAGAACTTTGGTGCTTGCTTATCAATATCCTGATTAGTCTCCACTTTGTAGCTTACATCACAGGAGCATAACAAGAAATGGTTTCTGACAGTATAGGCTTTTAAAGGACAATATGCCACTTCAAATGTCTTGTAGAAACTATGTATTGTGCACAGTTAGTATAGAAAGTTTACTCAAATGGCTAGAAAATGACAGCGCGCGTGTGCGTGCGTGAGTGCGTGCGTGCGTGCGTGCGTGTGTGTGTGTGTGTGTGTGTGTGTGTGTGTGTGTGTGTCTACGTGCACATGTCCAGAAAGGGGTATTGGATCCCCTGGGACTGGAGTAACAGGTAACTGTGGGTTTTCCAATTTGGACATTAAGAACTGAACTTTGATCCTCTGAAGGAGCAGTAAGAACTCTTAATTGACGAACCATCTACCAAGCCCACACACCTACCCTTTCTTCTTTTAAGACAGTTTCATGTAGCCTAAACTGGCTGAACTTGAACTCATGACCCTTCTTCAGTCTCCTGAATTCTGGATTAGACATGTACTAACACCTAGATAGTACTCACTCTTCAAAAGAAAAACACAATTTACTTTCACTTAAAAGGGATATAACATATATCCATACATACATATCAGTGTTAATGATAACAAAAGCTTAGGAACAAGACAAGTGAAATACAAAGTTACTTAAATTTCAGATGATTCCTAAGCAACAAAGACATCAACACCTCCTACCTAAACACCCCAGAGACTCCAGACCCAACGAAGAGTTTTTAGCACAAAAACTGTTTAGAGGATAGGATGGTAGGTGAAGACTCTCAAAACACAAGTGTTTCCAGGACTCAGGGTTTCAAAGTTCCGTTTTCTCAGTTTCTTCCTGTTTCCCATAAAGAATGAATCACTCTTCCCCATTCCTCTAAAATTAGCCGGTGGAAACAAAAAATAACTGGAACGTCAGAACCCCAAATCCAAATCATTTGGTAAATCTTGGTATCAGCTTTACTCTCTTATGTCGCTATTAAAACGGAAAACGTCTGGTTTAGACACACTTTGCCACATACTTGCAGCATAGACCAGAAGCTTCTTTGTCAAAACAAAATAACACAGCAATGATAACATAAATGTTCATCTAAGAACTCTGCAGTACTTGAGGCTCTTATTTCCGAGAGAGAGAGACAAGGTTTTCTATAGAGTTCACACTTGCTATCTTAGTGCTGGAGAACAGAAAGAAGTCAATCAGTCTATAGAACAGGGCCCAGAAGCTACCAGGCCAAAGCTGTGAGGGAAAATGCAGACTATTGCGGGTAGCCATCTGCCTTTCTCCTGTGGCCTACATTATGTTTGCCATAATGTGGGCTTTCTGTTAGCCCCTGCCATTTCACCTGAGACACCTGGATATGAGAGAAAGCACCCAGAGGTCTGTGTAGGAGCTGATATATGCACACATTCTACACTGTCTATAGAAAATAAGGCATGAGTGTCTGGTATGGTGGCAGATATCCACAGAAGTGCAGATGCACAGCGGCTAACTGTGCACAAAAGAGCTTGCTAGGAAAACTCAAGAGGGTTTGTGTGTGTTTGTACGTGTGTACGTTTTTGTGTGTTTACACTGCTGCTTCCTTAAATACCCAAAAAGAACTGCTTAATATAGACCATCATAATCAGAATAAAGTAAAAACAAACAAACAAACAAACAAACAAAAAAACGGGTTTGCCTCCCCCCCCCCTTTAGTTGGAATTTTCTACTCTGGAATTATTGACTACAATGGAAATGGACAAAGAAGCAGACACTGATCCTGTCGATACAGGAATCTTAAAAAGAGCTGTCTTTTTATTTTTGATATGGGGAAGGTCTCACTCTGTCATCCAGGGATAGATAGCATTAGTCAGTCCCCTGGGCTCAAATAATCCTGCCTCCTGCTTACAGGTACACAATACTGTTTGTTTTCTACAAAACCTTTATGTAAAGACAGAGTCTCACTCTGTTGCCCACTCTAGCCAACAATATTTTTGCTTCAGTATCTCAAAATGCTGGAATTTCAACCAGGCAGTGGTGGCGTACACCTTTGATCCCAGCACTCAGGAGGCAAAGGCAGGCAGGTCTCTGTGAGTTTGAGGCCAGCTAGTTTACAGAGCAAGTTCCAGGACAGGCTCTACAGCTACAGAGAGAAACCCTGCCTCAAAACAAACAAACAAACACACACCCAAAACAAGCTGGAATTTCAAGCAAAAGACACATATTCAAAACAAAACATTTATTTTATTTGATGTGTATATATGTTTTGCCTGTGTGTGTCTATGTGTACCATGTATGTGTGTGGTGCCTACAGAGGCTAGAAGAGTGCATCAGATTTTGTGTGTTACCCCTGGGTGCAGGAAGTGAACCAGGGTCCTCTGCAGAATCAACAAGCACTCGTAACCACTGAGCCATGTTTTCAGCCCCCAACTGTTCTTTGTTTAATTCAAGTCAACCATCACTTTCAAAACAGTAGTTAACAATAAGTATTATTTTCTTCTTAAAGGATAGTTCCTTTTCCTTAAAAATATACAAAGGCAGACGTGATGTCACATACCTTTAACATTTGGACTGTAAAGACAGGAAGATTAGGTGTTCAAGGCTAGCCAGCTTTGTGTCAAGATCAAGCCTGGGCTATAGGAGAGCCTGTCTCATTAATATAATAATAACAACACAACAATGAGGCTTTAGCATGGCATCTTTTCATTAGTAAGAAATTGATAAAAATTACTTCACAGTTTCTAAAGAAAAACCATTGTCAATCATGAGATAAAGGGATCAGTCCTTGAGCAGCATACTAATGATTGCTATAACTAGTAACTGAGAAATTAATAAGACTTTAGTCAATGTTTCCATGGTGAATAAGCTATCTTGGAAAACACAGAGGAGAAAATTTTACCTAGCCAATAATGTTCTTAATTACTGCTTTGCAAACAGGTACACAGAGAACAGTGCTATGTATAGGACTACCACACAACAGAACATGGCTTGGAAGTCCTTTGTTTTAGCCTCAAACTTTATGTAAAAATAACCATAACCTCCACATGCATACCTATTCCAACATCTGCCGCCAATAAACCAACGTCTCACACGACCAGAGGAGAAGGGCCTGCAGTTTCACTTTCCCTACGCCTCTGGTGTGTGTGTGCACGCACACTGTACTCCAGTCTGAGAAACTCTGTTTGGGAGCTGGAGAGATGGCTCATTATTTAACAGCACTGGTTGCTCTTCCAGAGGACCTGAGCTAAATTCCCAGTACCCACATGGTATCTCACAACCATCTGTAACTCCAGTTCCACAGGATGCAAACCATTCTTGTGACTTTCATGGAGCACCAAACACATTTGTGGTACACATGCATAAAGTCAGGCAAAAGGCATAGATTAAATACATGCAATTTTTTTTTTTTAAAGAAACTCAGTTTTAAGGAACTTTTAGTGAACTTGATGACACTTAAAAATTGGCATGTTTTAAAAAAAATTGGTATGCCGATTCTGGGGTTGTAGCTTTTCAGCAGAGTATGTGCCTACCTTGCATGGGGTTCCAAAGTTAATGAATATTTATAAAAGTTTTATATAGAAATATTTCCTCACAATTAGGGAAGGCCTTCTGGCCTGACTTAGTATCACCATTTCCACTAAATGCTTCATTCTGAACCTTATAACTCAAAGGTATCTGTCTGAAAAATAATCACTTGTTATAATTTTACTTAAATATTATTTTGAAATGCATTTCCTCACAGTGGGACGCTTTACATTCTCCCACAACCCCTGGGGGGAAAAAAACCCAAACAACAACAACAAACAAAAAAAAATCAGTGCAGGCATACTAGCCTAGCCTAATTCATGTGCTTTTGAAATAATGAGAATGTCTTCACTCTTATTCTCTCATAAAAGTTCCACTATTTTCATTGGTGTTCATAAAATAATGAATGATTTTATCTGGTCATGTTTTTAGTATTTCCTTTTATAAGAACTGGCACTGAAAATAATCTTATTTACCCTCTGAAGATACTGCAGCAGGAGATAGAGAGGCCCTTCCTAACTGTTCTTTCACCAGCCCATAGAAACAGCTAGTTGTCTAGGCCAGTGCAACTGTGAGCTAGACAAGATAGGAACCATGCATCTCATATAAGCACTTTCTCACCACACAAAATGAAATGTTGCTAAACTAAACAGCAGTGCTGCTAAGTGAGATGGTTGGCTTACATTCTGGGTGCCAGTTCCTGACCTGGCTTGTGGACTGTACCAGTCTCCAGAGGGGCAGTCAGTCCACACAGAGCACCTGAGTGCCAGTGGGGGTTCTGCACTGCAGCTTGTCTCAGTCCCAATTCAGTGTCAACAGAAGGATGCTAGTGTGTTTTAGAGTACAAAGTTCTAACAATATGGACTTTTTCTTGAGGTGTTTCAACTCTTTTATTCTTAATAAATCCTGAAAACAGAGCGGATTGCTTTTGAGGCAGCAGCTCAGAAACAGGTAAAAGTGAAAGAAGCCGAAGTGCCTGGTCAAAAATCATCTGGTCAGTGGCAGTGGCAAGAAGGCAGCACAGGCAGTCCTCAGCCACCAGAGAAAACTGTGAAGCAGAATTTAGACAAGTCTCACCTTTAGTGATACTGAGTGTGTTATCACCACTTGCCACAAAGTCATAAAGTGCGACAAAGAGATTAGGATCGCTCTCAGTGGCTCCCAGCAAGTTCTCCTTGGAGCTCCACCTGATGGCTTCATTGAGTGCCTGAGATTCAGCGTCACAGCCATAGGGGCGGTGCAAAACTTCTGAAAGACACAAAAAGGGAAAGAAGTCCAGTGAGTGAAACAGCTAAGTGCTCATCTGAGCTGCTGACTCATTCGGAGAATTGTTCAGAGTTACAAAGACTAAGTCAGAAGTTGGCTCTAGGTCTCCTCCATTGGACAGTGAACTTAAGGCCAGCCTGAGCTACATAAGACTACCTCAAAAAACAACACACAAAAGAGAGTGAGCAAAGGTGCTATATTTCCTGGGCTTACAGCAGCAACAAGAGAATTTAGTTCTGAGTTACATGCAGTCACCTAAATCAGTCTAAATGAATAGCAAAGGTGCAATTCTCTAAAAATGAGAAACAAAACTTACAAACAAGTGCTTGCTAGCTTTGGAAAGCATGTGTGACACTTGGCTGTGGTAATGACTTGGAGCTTTTTAGAGGTTGGGTTGAGTCAGGGTCTTAAATGGCCCACACTTAGCAATCTCATACTTGCTATGAAGTGGAGGGTGACCTTGAACTCCTGATCCTTCTGCCCCTCAACCCCACACAAAAGTGCTAGGACTACAGGAGTGTCCCTCACACCCAGCTACTGTGGTGTCCTCACACCCCACTAGAAATATAAATGGTAAAATTAACAAACCCTTCTAAAGTAGGTGCTTCCTTTATGCCTTCATATAAAAGAAACTGTAAGGAAAATTAGTTTCTAAATACAAACAACAAATACAGACACAGTTCTTTTAGCAAGATAAATGCTGACATACTTTGCTAAAGAAAAACACAATTAGCTGGGCATTGGTGGCTCATGCCTTTAATCCCAGTACTTGGGAGGCAGAGGCAGGTCCTTGTGGGGGGGGGGGGGGAGAAAAGAAAAAGAAAAACAACAATTTAGTCAGGCATGGCAGCTCACACCTGTAACCCCACTACTCAAGAGGCATCTGTGATCAGCCTAGACTACAGAGCCAGACTTACCTTATCTCAAAAATAGTAAAGAAAGAAAGGAAACATATCTTAATTTAATACAAAATCCTATTAGCATCTAAAGCATCTTTTTTTGTCATAATAGCTTACAATTGTTCATTGTTTTAATTTTTTAAACCATGATCTCTTTTCCTGGGCAGTAGATTTTTGTAAATTATTAGTAACTTAATCAAGGCTCTAGAAAATACCACCAATGTACTTTTGAATTTCAATTATGAACACTACCTAAGGTCTTGTAAGATCTGTTTCCTTTCAACGTCTTATTGTTTCTGAATCTATCCCTATACCACATTTGTTGAAAATTACCTGATTCTCACACCCTAGTTTGATTACACAAAACAAAACATCTAAACCACTGTTTTTCCAATAGCAATTTTCTTGATCCAAGGGACTGTGCTAAGTGGCTGTTTGCCAAGGCAAAGGATCTGTCTATGTCCTGTAACATTTTTCTCTTATGTCTCTTTCCTAGTTGTTTTTTTTTTTAAATTCAAAATTGGTTTAGCCATGGGGGGGTGGGGGGGTTGAATCTGTGGTTTCATATTGTTTCATGTCATCCCTCTTCTCCATCTCTCCTTCAATACCTTTGTTCCGATCCCCAACAGATCTCACCTGGACTACTGCCTCCAGTCTTGTCTCCCTCAAATCCATCCTCCACACAGCTGGCAAAGTGATCTATTTAAGACAAAAATTGGACCGTATCACTCTTAAGCCCCTTTAAGAGTTCATTGTGAAAATGGAGTCTCCTCCTTCCTTGCTTCCAAGCCCTTTCATGAATAAGGTGGACGGACCTTTACCTCTCCCCACCCCATACGGGGCTCCTGACACATCGGGGCCTTTGCTCATGCAATCCATTGCACCTGTAGTGGCTTTTCCCACTATTCTTCTGTGTGTATGCACACAGCAGGTACATAACTGTGCAGGTGGAAGCTAGAGGACAAGCTCTCTTGTTATTCTTCGGGAACCATCCACATTTTTAAAATAAGGTATCTCACTGGCCTAGGGCTCATCAAGAAGGCTGGTCAGGCTGGCTCCCCAGCACTGGAATTACAAGTGTGCTATCATGCTCAGCTTTTTAAAAACATGGGTTCTTGGGAATCAAACTCAGGTCCCCATGCTTGAAGGCAAGGACTTTACTGAAAGAGCTATGCCACCCTACCCGCTTCCTACTTTTCTCTTGACTTTTCACTTTACAACACTCAGTTCCCCTGTGACTGAAGTCTCCCCCAGAAACAACACAGGCATTTATTTGCTCTGTGTGCTCCTCTCTCTAGATTTCTTTCCCAACCTCACTAAGTATTTCTTACAGATAACAATCACACCCCCCCCACAAGGTTCCATAATCTGTACTCAATAACTGTTAGTTGTATGATACCCAACTTACACAAACACATAACTCACAGGACACAATAAAATGTATCTTAATCTTAAAATACACTAACCAGATGAGTGTGGTGGGCACACCTTTAATCTCAGCACTGGGGAGGCAGAAGCAGGCACATCTCTGGAACGTTCACCGTTCCAGGCTATTCAGAGCTATAGTATGTACATAGTGAGACCCCGACTCAAAAACAAACAAAACAACCCAAACTAAACAAAGCTATCCATTAATATCTAGAACCTGATTTTCTGTAGTGTTCAGAAGATGCTAAAACCAATATAAACCCAACAAAGACAAAAGTAGCAAATAGCACACATCTACCTGATTTTGGAAAACCCAGCATATTCAAAGTTGAGATCCACAAAGCTTATCTGAGCACAAATCCAACTAGTGTAGGGTTTCCCATCATGAAATCATCAGTGACACTGCCTGAATTTACCAAGCAAAGCTGCTCTTCATTCCGTACCCACTTCCAATCTGCTTCTTGGGCCAGAATTCTCCACCTCACTCAATGGTAATTCTCAGGTGCTTTGGCCACAAACTCTGATTGCTCATGTCTCTCCGTTCTTACTCTCATAGAACACCTTTGAGTCCAGAGAGATGGTTCAGTGGTAATGCTGTCTGTTGTCCCATGCTCAGAAACCACATGGTAGTAAAAGAGAACCTAATCTCGAAGCTGTTGCTCTGACTCTCACATGTAAATGTGTACATGCACTGTGCACACACATATAAATTAATGTAAAAAGTTTAAAACATCCAAAATCTACCCATTTCTTACCCACCTTTTAAAATCACTTCTATCAACACTTTCCCTAGGCTACTAATTTCTGTGTGTCTATACTTGTTCCTTTTAAAGCTAAAAAAACAAACAAACAAACCCCTTGTTATTTTTCATTGGTACCAATTTTAGAGTAAAAATCAAATCCTTAGAGGGCCTTTCAGGTCCTTCACAGTTTAATTTGCCCAATCCATCTTCCTTTCTTTTTAGACAGGATATCACTATGTAGCCCTGGCTGTTCTTGAACTCACAGAGGGCCATTCCTTCTTCTTCCCCACTGCTGGGATTAAAGGTGTACACCATCACACAAAACTCTTTTTTTTTTTTTTTAAGATTTTAAATTATGTATGTTGTATGTCTTCACTCATGTGTATAGGTGCCCATGGAGGTGAGAAGAGAGTATAAGATCCATTGGAGGGCTGGAGAGATGGCTCAGAGGTTAAGAGCACTGACTGCTCTTTCAGAGGTCCTGAGTTCAATTCCTAGCAACCACATGGTGGCTCACAACCATCTGTTATGAGATCTGGTGCCCTCTTCTGGTGTGCAGATATACATGGAAGCAGAATGTTGTATGCATAATAAATAAATGAAATCTTAAAAAAAAAAAAAAGATCCATTGGAGCTGGAGCTGAACCGCAGTTCTGTGCTCTTAATCACTGAGCTCTCTCTAGCCCTAGGACATTTTCTCCCCTACTCTTACTTCAGTGCTCAACACTACCCTCCCTACTACTGCTTAAACATGGCAGGCACCTAAAATACTTGTCTCAGTGACGTTTCATCAAATGGAGCCTCTGAGGACATTTTCTGATGATCCTATGTTACTGTGTGTCACTCCTAACAACATTCTAACCATTCCCATGTTTCCTTTCCTGATTTGTTTGTTCTACAAAACATATCCCATGATTTACTTACTTATGATACAAATATATAGTACCTAACTCTTCAGGTGCAATGTTTTATAAGGACGGGAATTTTTCTTATTTGTTTACTGACTAATAAACAACAAATAGCCCTTCTCTTCTAACCCAAAAGTGCTCATATGTAAGAGACTTTTTATTTTTTTTTTTTTTTTTTTTTTAAACGAGGCTGAGGGCTGGAGAGATGGCTCAGAGGTTAAGAGCACTGACTGCTCTTCCAGAGGTCCTGAGTTTAATTTCCAGCAACCACATGGTGGCTCACAACCATCCGTAAAAAGATCTCATGCCCTCTTCTGGCCTGGAGGCACACATTTAGACAGAATACTGTATACGTAATATATAAATTTAAAAAACAAACAAACAAAAAAAAAAAACAAAACAGGCTGAGGTAGAAGGATCTTAAGTTCCACATCAGATAAGTTTGTACAACATAGCAAGACCCTATTTCCAAACAAACCAACCAACACACAACAAAAAGCTTGTTGAAGGATAAATCATGTAGCCTGCAAACTCGAAGCAGGTGCTGCTGGAGGGAACAAAAGACCTCCGGAACACAGCAGAACTCACTTTGCACTAGATGCCCTTTTGGATGATGAACAAAATTTCTGCATTGCTGACTGTCAGTATAAGGAAATATCTAGACATGTTTCATCTATTCTGGGTCCAAAAGAGGGCTATTAAAGGCAAGTTATTATCTTCAAAACCATATTATTTGACAAAAGAAAAAAGAATGGAGTTCACAGGATAATTCTGTATACATTTTAAAGCTTTTCGAAGAGTTGGAAGAGGGAGTTAAATATAATCAACGCACATTAAAAACTTTAAAATTTGTAATAAAATTAGTAACAGTCAACCAATGGTATACAGCCCTTAACAAGCACAAGCAGCGCTTAAGGGAAAACACCTAGAAGAATCCAAGCCAAGGAGACAGTCTTTCCGTTCTGAGCAGGCCCTCCCGTCTCCGGCTTCCTTCTTTCTTCCCACTCACTCTTTTGTTCTTGTAGAATGAGTTCCTGTCCAAGCTGCCTGCACAGGATATCCACAGAAAACACTAGTCTACCCACAGCACCAAACAAAAGGAAAACATCTTCACACAAACAAAAAAATCCTAATTCTTTCTGAGGCCAGGGCTAACCACAGAGTTAATGAATGATCTTAAGCTGGAAGGTGGGGAGTGATGGGTTCAAGAAATAAGAGAGTAAAACTAAAAAACAAAGCAAAAGGGAACCAAAGCCTGTGGGTAGAGGACACTGGAGCCTGGGCCATCAGGGTCCAGACTATGCTGTATTTGCCACTGGGTAAGACAGGCAAGCCCCATGAGTCAGATGTACTGCGCCCACTCCAATGTCAGTGTGTGGGCTAGAATGTCTAACTTGTGAACAATGCAACTTGGTTAACTTAGCATGTTAGCTAATTCTTTGAATTAACCCACTGCTAGAGGGGTAGATATTTGAAAGAAAGCAGTAAAGGGCCCCAAACTTTCCTTATTTCTTGAAAAACTCAAGGAGCAGAAATATTGACAACCAAAAAGAAGTAATTTTTATCTTTTCTATTGATACACTGGTAGAATAACACACACACACACACACCAGCAACATACTTATAATTCAGAATAATGAAACTGAAACAGAAATTCAAATTCAGAGGAAATGTGGACATTTAATATTTAGCTTATAAAACACATTTTCAGTATTTATTTAGCCAGGTTTTTATTATTTTCATTATAAATTTGTCAGGTAATTATTTTCTCAAAGTGTCTTCATTACTTTATACTACTTAACACTGTTCTGCTTTATATATTATCTAAGAAGCTAGTGATTTTTAATACCTCTTTTAAAAGCTATTTTAGTTAGATATATTATTTGGCAGTTTTCAATTTAACTTAAGTTTTTCAATCAACACATGTACATCTAACCTCATTTTATATATTATTCATGTTCTTCCATTAAGTATTTATGCTGGGTGTGGTGGTACATGCCTTTACTCTTAGCTCTCAGGAGGCAAAGGCAGGCTAACTTTGGTGTATTTGAGGCCAGCCTAGTCTACATAGCAAGTTCAAGACCAGTCAGTAAGACAGTGAGATCCTATCTCAAACAAAGCAAGGCTGAACATGGTGGCACACACCTTAACTCCCAGCGCTGGCAGAGGCAGGCAGATCTTGACAAGATCCAGGCCAGACAAGGTACATTGTGAGATCCTGCCCCCCAAAGCCAAACCAAACAAACAAACAACAGAAGAATGTAGTATAAAATACCAGAAAAAACAAACAAACCATATAAACCTTCACTGACCACAATGGAGATAAAAAGAAGATGATTAATTCACATTTCGTTACCGTGTTACCTATCTCCAACCCATTCCAGCCCTCATCTCTGCACATACCTGTCACATGGGCCACAGGCAACTCTGTGGCATCCCTGCCTGGGCAGGGCAGCAAGGTATCCTGGTCTCTGCAGTAACTGGCTGAAGGCACCTGAACAGGCCCCAGGACCATACCTTCGGCCAAGCAGCATTTAAGTTAGACTGTTCTGAATAGAGGAGCCTTAAAATACCACTCTGGCTAGCAATCCGTACACGTGGGTCATTTACTCACATACTCAGTGGCCAGAAGGAACAAAGGACAAGTTCAACCCACAGGGGTGGAGACCTGAGTAAGGGCGGAGCTACTCCAAAAACTCGGGGGTGGAGGTGGGGATGATACACAGGCTATTTCAATCACACAGCAGTAACAGTCCAATAATAAAATCAGCCAAGATCAGCAGGTACAGACGTTCCAGTCCCAGATGATGAGGTGAGACTGTTGAGCGTTTCCTTGGAGAAAACCTGTTTACAGTACAACACCAAACACACTTGGAAAAGACAGGAAACGCCTAACAAGACTCATCTTTACATCACTCTAGTTAGTGCAAGAAACCACAAATCCAAAGTCAAAGAAATAGTTACAGTATGACTCATAAGTGCAGGCAGAAGAGAAGCAGAGAGCAACTAACTAACCGCCTTCCCTAGCAAATGGTCTGTGTGGCTTACAGGTACAAAGCAGTGCTGAAAACTGTGAATGGTGAAACGTGGAAAGGCAAAAGCCTAATTAAAAATATAGAGGAAAAAGTTACGTAAAATTTAAGACCTTACAAATCAGAGTGATTTATGAGACACAAACTAGTAAAGTAAGTGATGGGTAACTAAGCAGTACAGCCTACAAAAATAATTCAAAGAACACGATGGCAAGAATTTGTAATACCAAAGCTTGGCTAGGTGGAGGCAGAAGGATTCCTGAGTTCAAAGCCAGCTGGTGCTACAGATCCTGTCTCAAAAAGCTTCAATCACAGCACCAATCATAGTAATAATACAAAACTGTGCTTATAACTGTACAGCAGGGGAATGCCCACGGCATTGACGCACCTACCTACTATGTACCAGTTATTTAGATCAATAAAAGTTAACACAGTAAAATTACAGGAAAGCATAAAAGTATAAAAATACAAGTTGTAATTAACACTACAAGAGAAAGACTGAAATTGATGTATGTTATCAACAACAGTTTAAAAGCTAAAGCCCATGCTTTCAATGAAACTAACCTTTACAAAACTACTGTATCCACACCATGGGAAAGCAAGAATTAAATGACTAAAGGCAACTTCTAACAATGACTCAGAATTTGAAATAACCAGTGCAATTTCTCTTTCTGAGGATTCCAAAACTTTTCTGGGACAGCATCTCCATGAACAGAACATGTAGAATCTATCTACATATGATTTACTTACTATTCAATCAGTCAATCTACTTAAGCCATCAGTAATTATATTGTGTATTCTTACACTACAGGAGAAATAAATGCATAGCATCAGCAAAATGCAGTACGTACATGTAGTGGAGTATTATTTATCCATAAAAGGAATAAAATTTGATATATGTTAAAACATATATATGCTTTGAAAGCATCACAAGCTAGACACAAAAAGACAAATATTTTATAATTCCACTGATAGAAAATATCTTGATTTTTCTTTTATATAGATGCCTAGAAATGTGAGTAAATTTAATGTTATAGAAGTACACAGTGAAAAATGATTTTGTTATTTACATTTTATCATAATAAAAATTAAAATAACTTGGGTCTTCAAAGACCTTTTGATTATTCGGTTACGATTATCACTTACTGTATTAAAACCAAAAAAATCTTAATAATTATTAATTCTAAAATATCAAGTTCATTATTAGTATGAATAATTTTTATTTAAAAATAACTTTTCAAAAGACAATTCAAAAAGTAGCAGTCATTGTTTATAATTGTTTTTAGCAACACCTTGAGGCAAGGAAGTGTACTATTTAAAACAAAGTGACTGGCCTGGGCCAGGAATTAAAGAATCTTAGTAGGCATCCTTGACTAGGGACGGGGAGACCCTCAGAGCAAAACCACTGAAGCAGAAAGGGAAGGACCTGGTGTGCTGAGAATGAAAAGCATGGCCACTGCTGAGGACGCCTGAGGCTGACAGAGAAAGCATTGGAGGATTTAGAACTCTATTCCAAATACAAAGGGAAATCCGGTAAACTGCCCTAAGCAGGGAAGTCATATGGTCTGGCTTCATTTTTTAAAGATAATCATCACTGCTCAGGAAGAGGAGGTAACTACTCAAGAGAGAAAAACCAAGAAAGTGCTGAGAGTCAGGAGTAGGATGGTGTTGGCTTAGAGAATGATGACAGCAGTGGAGACAAAGAAAGAGCAGATGTACCCAAAGATGTGGTTCACAGATGGAAGCTATGGGGCTCAGAACTGCTTAGACACAGCAGAAGGAGAAAGCAAAGGTCTTAAGCTTGAGAACGAACATGGGTAGTTGCCATGCACACTCAGAAGCAATTTTCCTGAGTAAGTAAATTTAGAAGGTACAAAGCACTTTGGTGCATAAATCTGAAGCTTAGAGAAGATCCTGGGGTGCAGGCACCAACACTCATGGTAATTAAAATCAGCACTTGAGGGGGTGGTGGCGAGATAGCTCAGCTGGTAAAAGCAGTTGTTACCAAGTCTGATCCTACATAAAAGGAAAGAGCCAACTCTCACAAGTTATCCTCTGACCTCCACATGTACAACAGGGCATACACACATTCACACAAGTACACCACATTCCCCAAATAAATCAATAGATGTAAAATTTAAAGTAAGTCAAGACAGGGGTGGGTGGGGAGCTGGCTCAGTTGATAAATCACTTGCTACACAAGCATGAGGAGTTTGATCCCCAGAATCCACTTAAAAGAGCCAGACTGGTAGCACACATTTAAGATCCCAAAACTAGGGAGGCAGAGACAGGTAAGTGAATCCCTGGGCCAGCCTAGCCTACTGAGCAAGTTCCAGGCAATAAGAAATCCTGTCTCAAAAAGAAAGAAAGAGCGGACATTGCTCTTAAGTAATAGTATCCCAGGTTATCATCTGCCTCCACACACATGTGCACACACCTGCACAGGCTTGCACTCAAGTGCCTGCACAAGCACACTCACATGTGCACACACAAACTAAAGGTATGGATGAGATCACGCAATGAACTCAACTGCTGACTCAAATCATTTAAGATTCTTTTCTAGTTTGGAACTACGAAGTCTAGAAAGTAGCAAGATGATATAATCTTAAATGTGAAGAAAAACAAAGCAAAACAAACAAAAACCTATGGACACAGCTCAGTAATAGAGTATTCTCTGTTATGGTAGAAGTTCCACCCAAGCCCACTCCCCCTTCTCTCTCCTAACCCTGATGCATCTCAGAAAGCCTGCCAAATGATGACCCCTCCCCCAGAGATGCTCAAGACCACTCCCACAGGGTATTTAAACTGTCCTCCCAAAAAAAACAGACTCGTGGTTTTCTGGTCCCTCTTTCCTGTCTCCTCTCTGCAGGGCTGGAAGGCCATCTAGGATTGTTGTATCCATTAAATGTGGGCTTTTTCTAATTCGGTTTGATTTGGTCTGATTTGGATTGCTGCATCAGCAATCCAGGCTTATCAGGTGCAGAAACTTTCCATCATCCATTATATGCAAGGTTCCAAGTTTAATACAAAACCAAACATTAACCCAAATTTCTACATCCATTGAAAATATCCTTTGGAGGCTGGAGAGAGGTTCAGTGATTAAGAGTGCTGGCTGCTCTTTCAGAGGACCTGGGTTGGAGGCTAACAGGGGGTTCCAAAGCCCTCTTCTAGACTCCACAGGCACTGCATTCAACCCATGCACCGATATACATGCAAACAAAACATTCTTGTACATAAAAACTTTAAAAAAGAAAAAATGCCCTTTAGATATAATGGTAAAATACACACATCAACAAGAACCCAATGCCAGAAGACTGGCTCTAGAAGACTTGTTAAAGGAAGACATTGAGAGAGAATGGGAAATGTGAAATTATGCAACACCAAGAATAAAGAACTAGAGACTGGAGAGATGGCTCAGTGGTAAATAAAGTTTGGTTTCCAGCGTTCAAGTTGATAAGCTCATTCATTACCGAAAACTACAGCATCCAATGCCCTCTTTTGACCTGGAGGGCACTACACTCAAATGCAGTGGTTTTTTAATGAGAATGGCCCCCATAAGCTCATATATTTTGATGCGTAGTAATAATGAAGTGGAACTCTATGAGAAAGAAGGATCAGGAGGTGTGGCCTTGTTGGAGGAAGCTGTCTGTCACCTGGGTAGGGTGGGTAGTGAGAGGGGGTGGGGTGGAGCTGTGAAGTTTCTAAAGTCCACACCAGGTCTACTGTGTCTTTCTGTCTGTCTGTCTCTGTCTCTCTGCCTGCTACCTGCAGTAAAGCTTCTGGCTACTGCTCTAACATCATGCCTGCCTGCAAGCTGCCACACTCTGCCATGATGATAGTGGACTAACCCTAACCCTGAAACAGCAAGCAAGCTCCAAATTAAATTCTTTTATAATAGTTGCCTTGGTCCTGGTCTCTTCACAGCAATGGAAACCCTAAGAAACACACATACATGTAATGTTGTTAAAGGTTAGAAACATATAAAATCAAAAAGGATGGGCAGGCTGAAGATGGAGCTCAGTGAGCACACTTAAACCACAAAGAACGAATACTGCTATATGCTGTAACAGATGATCTTTGAAAGCATTACACCAAGTGAGAAAAGCCAAAAATAAACGTATATTATATGCATCAATTCATTAGTGGTTCTCAACCCGAGAGTCACAACCCCTCTCAATGGACTTTTTCATGGGGTTGCCAAAAACTATTGGAAAACATGGATATTTCCATTAAGATTCATAACAGTACCAAATTCCAGTAATAAAGTAGCAACAAAAATAATTTTACGGGTGGGGGTCACAACAACGTGAGGAACTGTGTTAAAGGGTCGCAGCATTAGTAGGGCTGAGAACCACTGATTTAGATCAAACATTTAGAACAGGCAATCCATAGAAAAGAAGGCAGATTAATGGGAGCCTTGAGCTGCAGTGGAGGACACAGAGTGACTGACTGCTAATAGCTACACAAGTCTTCTTGTTTCGACTTTAAGTCCTAAGATTAGACTATGTTGGTGGTTGAAAAATTGTGACTACTATAAAAACAGAAAATTCACTGACTTCTATCCTGTTTTCAGACCTAGCTATTCAGACTGCTAGGCTCTGAGTGTACAGTTATTTACAACACAGGAAAAGAAATGATAATTATTTCATGAGTCATAAATATGAGCAAAGTTATGGTAAGGATCTGTCACATTTCAACATCAAACTTTGAGGAACTAGTCCCTGGTAAGCAGAAAGTGACTCTAGTCACTGGTTTTCAACCTTCCTAATGCTGTGACTCTTTAATATAGCTCCTCATGTTGTGGTGACTCCCAACCATAAAGTTATTTCACTGCTACTTCATAACTGACATTTTACTACTGTTATGAACCATAAT